AAAAAAAATGGAAAAATGTCCTCGGATGAGGATTAAAAAAAGTCCTGCTGAGCCTGGCTGGTGTGCTCAGTGGTTGAACATCGACCCATGTACCAAGAGGTTGCCGGTTTGATTCTCAGCCAGGGCACATGCCCAGGTTGTGGACCAAATCCCCAGAGGGGGGCATGCAGGAGGTGGCCAGTCGATGTTCTCTCTCATGGAATTTTCCATCTCTCTCTTCCTCTTCCTTCCTGTTTCTCTAAAATCAATGAAGAAAAAAAAAAGTCCTACCTAACCCTGCCCCGCTCTGTCCAGCACGGCCAACCCTCCCCACCAGCTGCAGCCAGTCAATCAGAGGCAGGCGCAGCAGCAAGCCAGTGGCGCTGGGCCCATCAAGGCCTGGGCTCTGCTTCTTCACGCCCTTTTCTCCGCCCCGGAGTCGGGGCACTCAGACAAGGGCATGGCTGGGTGCTTAGTGGTGTAGTCTTGTCACCAGTCACCAGCTCCTAACCTCATTGAACAAAAGCCAGGAAAAGTGATGGGGTCTGAGCCGGGAGCGCTGGCAGCGGCTGGAGGCGGAGGGGTTATGGAAGGGTAAGTTGGGGTGGGGAGCTCTGCCCTCCCCGCATGCCCCCTGACTGAGCACTTCCATGCCTGCCCGTGGCCTCAGCCCTTGGGACCTAGCTGGACCACAGGAAGGGAGGTGAGAGTGTGTCTGGAGGGACAGAGGAGATGGGGGAGGTGCTGGCCCTGGCAGGGGTCGGCTGGGCAGCTCAGGGCCTCTCTTCCGGGGGCTGAGCGAGCACAGTCTGTTCTGTGACCACCTCGGCACCTGCGTCCACCTGTCTTTGCAGACATTTTACCGCTCTCGGGGTGTGGTGCACAGAGTGATAGACTCTTTGTCCCTTCCCGTTGCTGTAACAACTGTCGCACACAACAACTATCGCACACGCGAGTAGCTTGGAACAGTGTACACTGATGATCTCACCCAGCTTCTGCGGGTCAGGAATTCAGAGGCTGCTTAGCTGGGGTGGTTCTGGCTCAAGGTCCCCATGAGGCCACAGTCAGGATGCTGGCTGGGCTGGAGGACACGCTTCCAAGGCAGCTCATTTCCGCTGACAGGCCAGTTGATGCTGGCTGTTGGCATGACGCTTCAGCTCCTCGCCACGGGGACCTCTGCACAGGGCACCTTGACTGTCCTCATGATGTGGCGGTGGCTTCCCCTAGAGCCAGTGATCCAAGACAGAGCCAGGCAGTAGCCACATGTCTTCTGTGACCAAGCTGCAGGACTCACAGGCCATCACTTGTGCAGTGTCCTCCTGGTTACGCTGGTCAGCCCTATGCACTGTGTCAGGAGGGCGGACACTGGGAGACGGGACCCCTTCTGGAGGCTGGCTACTCCAGTTGTGTGTACCTGCTTAAAATCCAAAGATTCTCACTTCCAAATACACATGCCCCCTGTGTTGAATGAGAGGCTAGGATGCTCAATTTATACCTGAGAACCAGGTTCAAAGGATCGACCTTAAAAATACACATTGCTGGGCCAGTGTGGCTCAGTGGATTGAGCGTCATCCCAGGGAATGAGAGGTTCCGGTTCAATTCCCAATCAGGCCACATGCCTGGGGTGCGAGTTCGATTCCCAGTAGGGGAGTGCAGGAGGCAGCTGATCAATGTTTCTATCTCTTTCTCTCTCTAAATACAAAACAAAATAATTAAAATATATTTTTAAAAATACGACAGTTAGCCCTGGATGGTTTGGCTCAGCGGTTAGAGCGTCGACCTGCAGTCCCTAGAGACCTGGGTTTGGTTCCCGCTTAGGGTGCGTACCTTGGTTGCAGTTTGTCCCCGGCCCTGGTTGGTTGTGTGGGTGGCAGCCACTCGATGTGTCCCTTTCACGTCGATGTTTCTCTCTCTCTCTCTTCCTCTCTCTCCCTCCCACTCTACCTGAACAAAAAAATGGAAAAATATCCTCGGGTGAGGATAATAATAATAATAATAATAAATACAACATTTATTTCACCAGCAAAGATGGGTTTATTGAGGAACAGCAAAGAATTGTCATTTGGAACAAGCCAGCTATAGCAATAAGCCGTGGACAAGTCCAACAAACAGGAGAAAGAGGCAAGTTGGTTGTTTGGGAGGAAAGTCCACTGGAGGAAAGTGTGAGTTCAAGGTAATGAAGGCCTCTTATTTTCTGCTGGCGGAGTGGCTGGGGTGGCTGATTTCTTGTAGAAGATGCCAAATCCAGTAAATCCTTGCTTAATGTGGTGGATTGTGACAAAGTTTATGACAAAGACCTTAACCTGCACAGAAATCAAGAGTTCATGGGAGGAGCTAAGGCGTGTAGGAGGAGCTCTCCCATTGAATGTCATCTCTGGAGCCCAATGGGAAAAACTATTTACAACAGCTGGGTAGACAGCCCCTCTCTTTGACTTCCTCTCCCCTCCCTAAGGGACCTCCCAAACATTTTGGGCTCAGTGTGTGCACAGGGGTGCCAACTCTTCACATACCAGATCGGAGTACTTTCTTTTTCCCCAAAGATTCTTTTTGGTGACAGAATACCTAGTTGGTTTTGTGTTACGGTGGAAACTGTGACTTGAAGCAAAACGACATACAAGGAAACCAACCTCAACCTAGGCTACTTGATAATAACGAGTTAAGCTTCTTTCTGGTCACAGGAACACCAAACTCCTAAATAAAGATGCAAAAACACTTCTATACTAAGCACTGAAATAAATGTGAGCTATACATGCATTAAGTAAGATGAATGAAAATAAATTAGATCATTATGTTCCAACCTGCTTATTCCTGTTCAGGGTCACAGGTGGGCGGCCCATCCTACAGCTCAGGGTGAAAGGCAGGATAGGACCCCACTCTAAACAGGACACCCTTTGGACGCAAAGCCACTCACACTCACGCCCACGCTCTGACTGGGATAGTTGGACATGCCATTCATCTCACGTGTACATCTGTGCGCATTGTTAGGATGTGAGAGGAACCCCCCACCCCCAAACACACACACGGGGAACCGGTAAATGCCGCGGATGGCGTCCCAGCTGGGAAACGACTTTTTTCTCACCAACGTTACAATGAGGGAAAAGATGTTATTGGAGGACAGCTGTACATTCTTTCTTGTTGTTGGTGAGGATTCCTCATTTGGGGTATAATTGACTAATCTCCCCACGATTGACAGCAAGCGGTTCAGTGTGAAAGCCCCCCCTGCTGGCCTCGCGACTTCGTTTTGGTAAGGTTTCCTTAATTTTCACAGTGACCTGCCCCGGGTTACACACAGAGCAGCAGCAACCGGTCAGCCCAGCTCTACGGGCTAGCGGCCCGGCCCGCCAGAATGTCACTCAGGACGACGGGACGGGGCGGGCACTGTGCCCTGCACGCCCTTGTCCCGCACGCTCCTGCGGGGAGGGAGGGCACAGGCTTACCTCTCCTCTGCACAGGGGCAAGTGCGAGCTGGCTTTGCTGACACACCTGTCTGGGTCTGCACGGCCCCGCCCCGCCTTGGCCTCGCACACATAAGGGGCAAAAGCGCGACGCGGTCCTCACGGGACGGGACGAGAAGGGGCACCGCGCAGGGCAGCGGCCAGCAGCGACTCTGCGGGAGGAGACCTTGGAAAGACCGCATGTGTGCCCCGGCGTCGTCGTGGGCGAAACCCGGACCCTGCAAAGGAAAACAGGCGCAGAGCCACGGAGAGACACTCGGAGTTGTCTGGGAAGCTGGGAGAAGGACAGGGACGTTGAAAAGCGAGGGCGGGAACGGGCCAGCTTCCTGCGGCCTCCTGCGACCTCAGGGAGGGGCAGGGGAGGCACGACACGCGCTGGGTGCGTCGGGCGCCTCGCTGGGCTCAGCTCGGGAACGTCTCTTTCCTGGTGCTCCTTGTGACCAACTGGCGAGCTGCTGGGGGATTTGGGTCCACGCTCAGCGCCTACACCTGGGGTCGTTTTTGACCCCGCTCTTTCCCTCCAATCAGTAGCTATATCGGAGGCCGCTCAACCCCTCTCCACGTCCTGGCACGATTCTCTGAAAACACCCAGACGCGGGGGGATGGGGCCGCTGGGATAAGCCAGGCACCCGCGCGAGTGGACAAGCCACAGGTCCCAGGACTGGATGGGAGCGCAAGTCTGGCTTTCTGCGGTGGGCGGGGCCGGGCAGGGGATGATGGGCGTGGCCGACACTCGGCGGTGGACGGGGCCGGGCAGTGGGTGATGGGCTTGGCTATCACTCGGCGGTGGGCGGGGCCGGGCAGTGGGTGATGGGCGTGACCGACACTCGGCGGGAGGCAAGGCCGGGCACTCGGCGAGGGGCGTGACCAAGCTCTCGGCGGTAGGCGGGGCCGAGCAGTGGATGATGGGCGTGACTGACACTCGGCGGTAGGCGGGGCCGGGCACTCGGCGAGGGGCGTGACCAAGCTCTCGGCGGTAGGCGGGGCCGAGCAGTGGATGATGGGCGTGACCGACACTCGGCGGTAGGCGGGGCCGGGCACTCCGCGAGGGCGTGACCAAGCTTTCGGCGGTAGGCGGGGCCGAGCAGTGGATGATGGGCGCGGCCGACACCAGGCGGTAGGCGGGGCCGGGCACTCCGCGAGGGGCGTGACCAAGCTCTCGGCGGTAGGCGGGGCCGGGCACTCGGCGAGGGGCGTGACCGACACTCGGCGGTAGGCGGGGCCGGGCACTCCGCGAGGGCGTGACCAAGCTCTCGGCGGTAGGCGGGGCCGGGCACTCGGCGAGGGGCGTGACCGACACTCGGCGGTAGGCGGGGCCGGGCACTCCGCGAGGGCGTGACCAAGCTCTCGGCGGTAGGCGGGGCCGAGCAGTGGATGATGGGCGCGGCCGACACCAGGCGGTAGGCGGGGCCGGGCACTCCGCGAGGGGCGTGACCAAGCGCTTGGCGGTGGGCGTGGCCGGGCTGTGGGCGGGGGCGGGGCTTGCAGGCTAAAGTTCCGGGGAGTGGGCGGCCAGCCTAGACCCGGCGCGGAAGTGGCTGCAAGGCCGCGCGCCTTCCCGTCCCGGCCCGCAGACATGTCGTCGGGGGACGCGGGGTCCGGCGCGGGGGAGGGCACCCCGCGCGCGGCCGCAGCTCTCTGTGGCCTGTACCACGAGGCCGGGCAGCAGCTGAAGCGCCTGCAGGAGCAGCTGGCCGCCCGGGACGCCCTCATAGAGCGCCTCCGCGCCCGCCTGGCCGCGCTGGACGGGGACGCGGCGCCGTCGCTCGTGGACGCGCTGCTGGAGCAGGTGGCGCGCCTCCGGGAGCAGCTCCGGCAGCGGGAGGGCGGCGCCGTGGAGGCCGCGCTGCGCCAGGTGCGCCCCCCCAGGCTGGGGCTGTGAGCGCGCGTGGGTCCGCAGGGGGGTGCGTGGCTTGGACGTGAGGCCGTCGTGGGTAAGGGATGCGTGTCTCTTGGTTCTTTTTACAAAAAGTATTTAAGTACAGTCGGTTCGCAACATTATGTCAGTTATATTAGGGGTGTGCTATGGCGATGACATTGTCGCCTTACAAATGATCGTCCCTCGAAGTCTGGTCAGCATGGTCACTGTGCAGGCTCCACGGCATTATTGACGGGAATCCCCTGTCCTTCCCCGTCCCTCCCCCACCCCTCTCCTCCCCGCAGCCATTCCTGGGGTTTGTTTCTATGAGTCTGCTTCTGCTGGGTTGTCCCTTAGTCTGTTCTTTAGATTCCACATATAACTGAAATACATGGTATTTGTCTTTCTCCTCCAACTTAGCGTAATTCCCTGACAGATGTTGTGATAGGCACTGGAAATGCAGGAAGGGTCAAGAAAGGCAGAGTTCTGTCATGATGAAGTTCATCTCCTCATTGAGAACACAGATGTTGTAGAAATAATCTGTTGTATTGTGGAAAATATTATATAGAGTTGATGTATAGCGTATTGTGTTTTCTGTTGTGAACACGATTTGACATATATAAAGCACATAGCTTAGCCCTGGCCGGTGTGGCTCGGTTGGCTGTGTGCATCCTGAAGTCGCTGGTTCGATTCCCGTTCAGGGCACAGGCCCAGGTTTCAGGCTCATTCCCTACAGGGGTGCACAGGAGGTGGCCCATCGATGTTTCCCTCTCGTCAGTGTTTCTCTTTCTCTCTCCCTCTTCCTAAAATCAATTAAAAATATTTTTTTAAAAAGAAAGTACACAGCTTCATCTCTTGCACATAGTTGGTGCCCAGAAACTGTGGATGTCATTCACGATGGCCACTGAGGTGTTTGCTGGGCCTCATTTATTGAGAACCCTCTGTATGGGGGTAGAATGTGTCCATGTATGACCACCATGGGCGTGTGTTTTCTTTCTCCCGACACCCAGCACGGTCCATTCGTTCCACAGGCATGTGCAGAGTGTCAGAGCTGCGCCGGGCTGGGCAGAAGTGCTCACCCAGTGTGAATGGAGTGCCGAGTGAGTGGAGAGCAACGCAGGAGGTGGTTGTAAAGTTAGTGGGGGTACATTGTGCCGGCCTTTACTATCTTAGCAAGTTGCTAATTGCACACTGGTGAGCACTAGGCTAGGGGAATGCAGAGATGACCAAGATCCACCTCTTGTCCTTCAAATTGTGGATCATACATGAACTTAAGTGATCACTCCTTGATGCAAGTTGAGGGAGGTGTAGTGGGGAAGTACTGAATTAGAGTAAGTGTGGAACCAAGACAATTTAAGTTTCTAAACCAGAACACTGGTATAGTATCAGCAGCATTTTTTCTTTAGATACAATTGACATATAATATTATGTTAGTTTCAGGCATACAACATAATGATTGGATACTTTGTATATATTGTGAAATGTTCAGCATACTAAATCTAGTTCATCCATTGGTCAATTTTCATATGTTTAACCATCCTTGTATTCTAGGGGAAAAAAAAACAATCCCTCTTGGTCATGCTGTATAAACTTTTAATATGTTGCTGAATTTGGGCTGCTAGTTATTTTGCTGAGAATTTTTGCTCAAAGTTCCTAAAGTATATTGGGCTGTAGGTATCATGTAGCGTCTTTGTCTTGCTTTGACAATACTGGCATCATAAAAATAGAAAGTGTTCCCTCCTCTTCAGTTTTTTAGGAAAACTTGAGAAGTTTGGTAGGATTCATCTGTGAAGCCATCGGTTCCAGGGCTTTTTAATCAAAACATTTTTTTTTTAATTTTTTATCCTCACCCGAGGACATTTTTCCATTTTTTGTACAGACAGAGTGGGAGGGAGAGAGAGGAAGAGAGAGAGAGGGAAACATTGATGTGAAAGGGACACATCGAGTGGCTGCCACCCACACGACCAACCAGCGCCGGGGACAAATTGCAACCGAGGTATATGCCCTTAGCGGGAACCGAACTCGGGTCTCTCCGGACCGCAGGTGGACGCTCTAACCGCTGAGCCAAACCGGCCAGGGCTAATTAAAACATTTTTTTTAACATATTGATTTTAGAGACAGAAACATCAATTTTGTTGTTCCACTTATTTATGCATTCATTGGTTGCTTCTTGTATATGCCCTGACCAGGGATCAAACCCACAACCTTTGTGTATCAGGACAGTGCTCTAACCAATGAGCTACTGGCCAGGGCTTTTTTTACTTTTTGAAGATATTTTTTTTCTTTATTGATTTTAGAGAGAGAGGAAGAGAGAGGGAGAGATAGAAACATCAATGAGAGAGGACATCGACTGGCCACCTCCTGCATGCTCCCCACTGGGGATTTGGCCCACAACCTGGGCATATGCCCTGACTGGGAATCAAACCAGTGACCTCTTGGTGAATAGGTCGATGCTCAACCACTGAGCTACACCAGCCGGGCTACTTTTTGAAGATTTTTGATTACTGATTCAATCTTCTTACTTCTGGGAATTTTTCTATTTCTCCGTGATTGAGTTTTGGTATGTTTTTGTGTTTAGAAAAATTTGTCCGTTTCATTTAGGTTATCTAATTTGCTGCTATATAGTTGTTCATAGTATTCTCTTATATTCCTTTTTCTCTAGATTTGGTAGTACTGTCCCCACTTTCATTTCTGATTATATTAATTTGAGTCTCAAGCTAAAAGTTTGTCAATTTTGTTGATCTTTTTGAAGAATGAACTTTTGGTTTCAATTTTTTTTTATTAAAAACATTTTTTAAAATTGATTTTACAGAGAGAGAAAAAGAGAGGGAGTGAGAGAGAGAGGCAGAAACATCGACGAGAGAGAACATTGATTGGCTGCCTCCTGCATGCCCCGCAGTGGGGATCGGGCCACAACCTGGGCATGTGCTCTGACCAGGAATAGAACCAGCGACCTCTTGGTGCCTGGGTTGATGCTCAAGCACTGAGCCACACAGGCTGGGCTCATTGATATTCTATGTATCTGTTCTCTATGTCATTTATCTCTGCTCTGATCTTTATTGTGTCCTTCTACTAGCTTTGTGTTTAGTTTTTTCTTCTCTTTCTAGTTCCTTAAGTGGTGAAGTTAGGTTGATGATTGGACATCTTTCTTTTTTTTAAATGTAAGTGTTTATAGCTCTAGATTTTTCCTTAACAATACTTTTCTGGATCCCATATATTTTGGTATGTTGTGTTTTCATTTTCATTTGTCTCTACATATTTTCTAATTTCCTTGTGATTTCTTCTTTGGTCCATTGGTTTAAGAGTGTGTTTAATTTGCACAATTTTGTACATTTTCTCGTTTTACATCTGTTCTTGATTTCTGACTTCATCCTGTTTTGGAGACAATAATTCTTATGATAATCTGTCTTTTAAAATCTACTGAGACGTAACATGTGTCCTAACATATGTTCAGTCCTGGGAAATGTCCCCTATGGACTTGAGAAGAATGCTGCTGTTGGGTGGAATGTTCTTTAGATGTCGGTTAGGTCTGATCGGTTCATGGTGTGAAGTCCTGCTCCCTTCCTCCCTCAGTCTGGTGGCTCCATCTGTGATTGGGAGTGGCATCTCGAAGCCTCCAGCTGTCGAGCAGAGCCATCCGGTAGTCCCTGTCATCCAGCCAGGTCTGCTTCGTGTTATTTTGCTGGCCTGTTGTTAGGTACATACAAGTGTTGGTAATTGGTATGTCTTCTTGCTCTAGTAAACCTTTTGCTGATGTATAGTATCCCGCCCCTTGTCACCCTTTTTGAATTAAAGTCTGTTTTGTCTGCATTAGTGTGGCTGCTCTGCTCTCTGTTACTATTTGCATGGACTGTTTTTCCATCCTTTCACGTTTAACATGTGACAGCATGTGTTGGATCGTGTGTTTCTATCCATTCTGCTGATCTGTGTCTTTAAGAATATTTTAATTATTTACATTTAAAGTGATTACTGATAAAGTTGGACTACTTTTGTTATTTTGCTATTTGTTTTCTATCTGCCTTATAGCTTTTTTGTTCATTTCCTGCATTATTTTATTTATTTATTTTTTTATCCTCACCAGAGGACATTTTTGCATTTATCTTCAGATAGAGCAGGAGAGAAGGGGGAAGAGAGAGAGAGAAACATCGATGTGAGAGAGAGACATCGAGTGGTTGCCACCCACACGACCCCAACCAGGGCCAGGACAAATTGCAGCTGAGGTACGTGCCCCTAGTGGGAACCGAACACGGGTCTCTCTGGTCCGTGGGCTGATGCTCTAACCGCTGAGCAAACTGGCCAGGGCCATTTCCTGCATTATTGTCTGTGTTACTATCGGTTTGATTTTCTTGGTAGTCAGATGTTTAAATTTTTTTCTTATTTTCTTTAGTGTATATCCTGTAGTTTTTTTGTAGGTATGTTGGGAATTATGTTTAACATCCTAAAGTTATACTACTCAAATGTGAATTTATACCAGCTTAATTTACAGCTCAATCCCCACTCCTTTCCGTGACTGATGTTACAAAATTACATCTTTATACATCACATGCTCACAAACACAAACTAATCTTGTAATCTTCCTAATTATATAGGAAACAATGTGTCTCTTAATTATGTAGGAAACAGTGTGGATACAAACAAAAGTTACAATAATACTTCCTTTAGACTAACAATTTTGTTGTTGTTAATCCTCAGAGGATATATTTTCCATGACTTTTAGTGAGAATGGAAGGGAGGGAGAGAGGGGGGGAGAGAGAGACACACACACACACACACACACATACACACACACACACACAAACAATTTTTTTGTTGTTAATCCTCAGAGGATATATTTTCCATGACTTTTAGTGAGAGTGGAAAGGAGGGAGAGAGGGGGGGAGAGACACACACACACACACACACACACACACACACACACCAGTTGGTTGCCTCCCACTGGACCCTGACCAGTGCCGGGGGTCAAACTGCAACCGAGGTTTGTGTCCTTCACCCAAATCAAACCAGCGACTCTGATCTGTGGCCAGCACTCTAACTGCTGAGCCAAACCAGCCAGGTCAAGTCACTGTACTTTTTTTTTTTTTTAGAAAAAAGTTTTTTTTGTCTTTATTGATTTTAGAGAGAGAGGACGTGAGAGGGAGAAAGAGATAGAACCATTGATGAGAGAGAACCTTGGTTGGCCGCCTCCTGCCTGCCTCCCACTGGGGATTTGGCCCACAACCTGGGCATGTGCCCTGACTGGGAACCGAACCTGTGACCTCTTGGTGCATGGGTCGATGCTCAACCACTGAGCCACACTGGCCTGGCAAGTTATTGTACTTTTTTAGTTTCTTTTTAGGTTTTGTATCTTCATATTTCTATTTTGTTTGTACATTGCTTTTTTTTAAACTTTTTTTTTTTAAACTTTTTTTATATTTTATTTTAGTTCTTGAAGTATCTTGGTTGTTTTAAAGTCTTTGTATAGCCTGGCTGGTGTGGCTCAGTGGTTGAGCATCAACCCATGCACCAAGAGGTCGCCGAGGTTGTGGGCCAAATCCCCAGTGGGGGGCATGCAGGAGGCAGCCAGTCAATGTTCTCGCTTATCCATGTTTCTATCTCTCTCTCCCTTTCCCTTCCTCTGTAAAATCAATAAAGAAAAAAAAAAGTGGACATTTAGATTTAAAATAATTTGGTATCTCCGGAAATCAGATTCTCCTTCCTATGGTTTGCTTCAAAAATTTTTTTATTTTTCACCTGGACAGTGTGGCTCAGTGGATTGAGCGTTGTCCCATGGAATGAGGGGTCCTGGTTTGATTCCCGGTCAGGGCACATGCCCGGGTTGCGGGCTCGATCCCCAGTTGGGAGGCATGCAGGAGGCAGCCAATGATGTTTCTCTCTTTCTAAAAGAAATCAATGAAAACATGTTAAATTTTTTCTTTTTCTTTGATTGTTGGAGGTTGTCTCTGTGCCAAGGATCAACTGAGCGGTAACTTAAGATTTCCTCAGGTCTTTTCTGAGCCTGCCCCACATGTGGTCCCTTTCTAATGCCCCCGTGTGCAGCTGCTTTTCTTCTCCAGACATTGATTTTAGAGAGGAAGAGAGAGAGAGAGAGAGAGAGACACCAGTTTTTGTTGTCCCAATGATTTATGCATTCACTGGCTGATTCTTGTATGTTGTCTGACCGGATTGAGCCCACGACCTCAGCGTATCAGGACGATGCTCTGCCCAGTGAGCTACCCAGCCAGGGCCGTAACTGATTGTTTTGTTGTTAATCCTCACCTGAGTATATTTTCCCACTGATTTTTAGAGAGAGGGAGAAGAAGGGAGGGAGGGAGAGAGAGAAACATCATGAGAGCTAATTATAAAACATTTTTATTGATTTAAATTTTTTTTTAAAATATATATTTTTTAAATTTTCTCTAGAGAGAAGAAGGGAGAGAGATAGAAACATGGATGTGAGGGAGAAACATCTATCGGCTGCCTCCTGTAAGCACCCTGACTGGGAATCGAACCGGGACCTCTCAGTCTATGTGACGACGCTCAGTCCACTGTGCTGGGCCAAAAGCTGATTTTTAAGACAAAACAAAATATGGCTGGCAAGTCCTTCAGAGACGACCACACTCACCGCAGTGGGCTGTGTTGTGACAGGTTGAAGGCGGGCCAGGTCCTGATCTCTATATCGCTCCCTCTTATCCCTAGGCCTGGGGCGAGGAGACAGCGCGCGTGCCCGTGGGGTGCTCTGTGGACTGTCCCCCTTGACCCGCCTCTAGGGTGTGCTGCTGCTGTCTACAGAGAGGGTTGTCTCTCCCCGTTTCCGTTAACCAGGGAGGAAGGATGCACAGAAATCAGGCCTTGCCCAAGTGCTCCAGCCCCAGGAGGATGTGAGGGAGCTGCAGGCAACGGACTTGAGGCCGGGCGGCCACTACTGTCGCTTCCTTACCTGGTCACGCCAGCAGCTACCCTAGCCCTACGAGCCTCGGCTGGCCCATCTGTAGAATGGGAGCGATGACAGATGCCGCTCTTGGGGTGTGGTGACCGCACGGTTGGTGGAAGGAGGGCTGAGAAAGCCTTAGCTGCTCGTGCTCTCGCTGCGGGTATTTAGGGGCTCAGGTCTGTCTCTTCTGCCATTCCAGGGCAGAGTGGCCCTCGCTGGTCAGCCACAGAATCCTGTTCCACGTCGTGTGGATCTGTGTATGTGTTGTTGTATTACAGGCCTGTGCTGGCCTTAGTAAGCTCCAGACGGACAAGGACAGGGGCATTTCTGTCATGCTGCTGGTCACAGCCTCCTGTCTGAATGATGTTGACATTCAATGAAAATGCACACAGGGCAGATCTCCTCTGCACCGTCTTGGCTCCGCCGCACGGTGAGCGCTGCCGGGGGTAAGGTGTCTAGCCGGGTGAGAGGGCCGTGACAGCAGCATAGAGCGCGGTGGCCGAGGGCAATGAGGCCGGTGAGGGAGGCTCCTGCACGCCGTCACAGAGTGAGAACTGGGACAGGTCCTGACCAGCTTAAAAAATGTCAGTTTTTACCCTGGCCAGGTAGCTTGGTTAAAGCATCATCACCGTACATCAAGGTACGATCCCTGGTCAGGGCACAGACAAGAATCAACCAATGAATGCAGAAATAAGTGGAACAACAAATCAGCGTTTCTCTCCCTTCCTCTCTCTCTCTTAGAAGTGGACAGTTTTTATTATTTATTATTGATTTTTTATCCTCACTCGAGGACATTTTTGCATTTATCTTCAGATAGAGCGGGAGGGAGAGGGGAGGAAGAGAGAGAAACATCGATGTGAGAGAGACACATCAACTGGCTGCCACCCTCACGACCCAACCAGGGCCAGGGACAAATTGCAGCCGAGGTACGCGCCCTTAGCGGGAACCGAACCCAGGTCTCCCTGGTCCGCAGGCCGACGCTCTAACCGCTGAGCCAAACCGGCCAGAGCATAACCCTGCTGTTTTGATGGCCCTGTGTCCTGTCCCACTGGGAAGTGGTGAGACGGTTCTAGGTTCCTGGTGTCTGGGCGCAGGGCACGCCCCTCCCACTTCCTCCGGGGAAGCTTGGCTGCTCCCGGACTTGCCGAGGCTGTTTGGGCTCATCCTGCCTCTGGGCCTTCCTCAGGCCCTGTCCCGTTGCAGGCGTCCTTGGAAGTGGGAAAACACAACATTGAGGCTGGTAGAAAGCTGCAACCTGAAGGCCTCTTCAGTGACGTCACTGGGTCTGGGCGTCCGTGATCGAGTCCCTGAGACGGTGCTGGACCTACAGTGGGGTCACCTTCCCAGTTCCTGAGGCCGGGCTCCGGCGGGTCCTTCTGGGTCTGCCCGCCCCATGGCAGTGCCAGTCTTGGTGGCCTGTCTGGTGCCTGCAGACCTGTCCATCTGGGCCTCCGTTGTCACGTGGCCGCCACGGCGTGTCCTGATCTCCCTCTTCTTGTGATCAGGGCCCTTCTAGTGCCGTGTGGCCTCACTTACTGTTCACTTCTGTAAAGATCCCAAGTACCAGGGTGGGGCCATGGACGTGTCTTTTAGGGGCTGCCCACCAAAGTGGGGTGTTTTCTTTTCAACAGTTTCGGGAATCGCCACAGTAGTCATTTGCTGGCGTGAAGTCTAACAGCATGAGCTTGCTCTTGAAAACAGTATTTTAGGTGAGGTTTCCGAGAGGACATCACAGGCTGACAACCCCAAAGGGAATTCGCAGTTTGGAAGCCAACCTCCAAGTGCGTTTGTCTCTGGCGTTTCTTTTACTTTATGACTTTTGTTGCCGACACTGCTTTTTATTAAGTAAACTCTGCTTTTAAATCTCAGGAAATTGAGAGGCTTTCTGAGCAGCTGGAAGAGAAGGAGAGGGAGACCCAGCAGCTGGCGAGCCAGCCAGGGCACGAGCGTGAGGAGGAGGCCGCCCTGCTGCGGAGGCAGGCGGCAGAGAAGGAACGGGCCTGGGCCGCCAGCGCCGTCCTGTGCCGCTCCTTGGCCAGTGAGACCCACCAGCTGCGGAGAGCTCTGGCCGCCAAGGCCCACGTGTGCCAGCATCTGGCCAAGTGTCTGGATGCACGACAGGGGGCCGTGGGGGACCAGAGGCCTGAGGTAGGCCTGGTGTCAGCAGGGTGTGGGAGGGGGCTGCGGGGGGGGACCCCAGCGGCCCTCAGCAGCCACTGAGGCGGGGTGGCCAGGGCCCACTTTGCTGAGGCAGAGCCCACCCTTCCAGGGGTTTCTTCTAGAACAACGGAACATGCAGAGTGCACAGGAAAGCCAGGCCTCGCCAGCCTGCCCCGCCCAGGCTGTGGCTGGCCCTGTGCCCAGCTGCACGGCTCTGGTCCATCAGCTGAGCGAGGGTGAGGAGTTAGGGCTGGGCCGAGGCTGCCCTGAGCAGATGAGGACACTGCAGAGAATGCGAGGGGCAGCGCCTCCTAACGCCGAATGCAAGGGGCAGCGCCTCCTAACGCCGCCCTAGAGGACCGAGCGCAGCCCTGTGGGCCCCTTGCATCTGAGCAGAGCCGCCAGCCTGCCTGGGGGCCCCTGTGGAGCTGGCTGCTGTCTCTGAGCCGGCCTCTGGGCAGGTCCACGCGGCAGTGTCCTGGCCGGCCTGGGGGCCCCTGTGGAGCCGGCTGCCGTCTCTGAGCCGGCCTCTGGGCAGGTCCACACAGCAGCGACCCGGTCACGGTCAGAGACCTGGCTGTTCTTAGGCTCCAGCACCCTCGTCATGGGAGCGAGGATGTGGCCCCCTGCCAGGCGCTGGGCAGGGCAGGGCTGGTGGCAGGTGGGCCCCCGACAGGACGGATCTGGGCTGTGGCTGTGTGGGGGCCTGTAGTGGGGATCTATAAGGGTGGAGTCACGGGGCCCCTTGGTGGGGGTGTTGGGAGCAGAGGCACAGGGAGTGGTGGGGCCGAGGCAGATGTCCCTGCCTCCTGCCAGCCCCGCCTGGGCCTGCGGTGGGCTGTGCTGTTTACATGGAGCGGACAGGAAGGCCTTGGTGTCCACCTGGCCAAGGCTGGGTGGGCCGGGCTGCCGAAGGGCCTCCCGCTCAGGCCTTCCCAGGCAGCTCCTAAAACTCGCTTTGCGTGCTCAGGGTGGCCGCGGCCCCTCCTGGCAGCTGGGAGACCTTCAGCCTGAGACCCTCAGCCTGAGACCTGCCCTCTCGGCTGGGTGGACTCCACAACAGGGAACCTCAGAAAGACCAGCGAATGTCAGAAACCAAAAGGAATGAGCCTCTGGGAGGAGGGTGTTCTCATCGGGTTCTGAGTCACTGCATTTCCCTCTGGGATCTGAAAGCCACACTTGGTGGTCGCTGGGTGGCCGGGGGCGGGTGTGGGGCCTGGGGCCGCCTGGCGGGGCTGTGCAGTCTCTGTCAGCGTCACTTCCCAGCCTGGATTTGGCTGAGTCACCTGGGGCTTCCCCAGTGGCCGGGTTAGGACACGCACTTCCTGTCGTTCGAGGGGAATTCTCCAAAACACTGTCACCAGCGTCCAGCCCCCGGTGCTGGTAAATGCATTGACCCTGGAGGGGCCAGAGGGACCTTTCGGGAGACTTCTCGCCGGGGTCTTCCCCCCACTGTGAGGGCTGCTTTGGGGTGTGGTTTCTGGGTGGGACGCCCCTGACCCCGTGTGAGGGCAGGGGGACTGACCCCGATGGCCTGTGGAGACCACGGGGTCGTGGGCTTGGAGGGAGGGAGCCAGGCCCCGGCCAGGCCCGCCCTCGCAGCTCTGGGCCCCGGCCCTGACTCCCACAGCGGTGGGAAGGCTGCCCGGGCCTGGGCGGGTGGGGCCAGCTGTCTCAGCCCCTCTGGACGTCAGTGCTTCTCCTCCATCTGCTGAAGCGCCGCCCCAGCGGCACCTGGGGACTGGGCCTCTCTGGGTCTCTGGGTCTCTGGGTCTGCCCCCCGCCCCCGCTGCGTGTGACCGACAGGGCTGGTGATCTCCGTGTCTTCTGCAGCCTGAACACGCAGGCAAGGACGCCTCTGTCCAAGCTGCCGTTGAGAAGCTGCAGGAAGAAAACCGGCTGTTAAAGCAGAAGGTGACTCATGTGAGTATCTAGCGGTTCACTGGAGAACGCGGTAGGAGCTGCAGCCCCGCCCTCGGGCCTCTGGCTGGCAGGGCCTCCTCCTGGAAGGAGGACAGAACTCCTCCCATGCCACCCCCGCTACTCCCCCAGCAGCAGAGGGGGCAGGCTGACCCCCCAGACAGCTCCTCAGGCAGGGAACCAGCACCAAACCCCAGGGGGTTTAAGAGGAGAGGAAACTTGCATCTGCGGGGCAGCTCCCTCCCTCCTCCTCACCAGTAGCTCCCAGGGTGGCGGGAGAGCGGCCACGGCCTCACCCCTCACCTGCCGTCCCAGGTGGAGGACCTCAACGCCAGGTGGCAGCGCTACGACGCCAGCAGGGACGCGTACGTGCGGGAGCTGCGGGCCCAGCTGCGGGCCGTGCGGGCGCCCGAGCCCGAGGCGGAGCTGCTGAGGAAGGAGATCTCCCGGCTCAACAGGCAGCTGGAGGAGAGAATCAGCGAGTGTTCGGGGGTCTCGAAGGAGCTGGCGGAGGCGCGGGAGCGGGCAGGGATGCTGGAGCAGCAGGTGGGACGGGGACAGGAGGGCCCGCCGACCCCCGGCTGGCCGGTGCGAGGTGATGACCGGTGCCTGCTCCCTTCAGATTCTCGCCTACAAGGACGACTTCACGTCGGAGAGGGCGGACCGGGAGCGGGCTCAGAGCAGGATCCAGGAACTCGAGGACCAGGTGGCCGCCCTGCAGCGCCAGGCGTCCCGCAGACAGGTAGGGTCGTGAATTCAAGTCCTGTGTCTGCTGAGACCCAGACTGCCTGGTCCAGGCAGAGCCCCCTGCCCGGCACGGTGGCAGGAGACACCTCCCTCTGGCCCTGTCTGGAGGCTTGTGGCAGCAGGTGGCTGTGCTCAGGGCTGCCCTCCTGTGCTCGCTCTGATGCAGCCGGTCAGCATGTCCTGGGCCCCGAGCTCCCTCCTGGAGCTCCCTCTGTCCAGTCCTCTCCTTGCCGTGAGGTGGGGACCCTGGCTACCCCGTCGCACAGCTGTGGACACCGAGGCCCTGGGTGTCCAGGAACGAGCCCTGTGGCGCCCAGGTGCCTTAGCCTCTGCTCTTCCTCCTGCCACGGCGCCTTTGTGAGCGCGGGGAGCGGGTTGGCTCCGGGCCGAGCAGGAAGCAGGCGAGGGGTGCGAGCCCCACTCGGGGACGGATGAGCCTGAGGCCCGGCCTGGCGGCCTCCAGCGCAGCCCACGTAAGCCGACCTCTGCCTTTTTCCAGGACCCCCGAGAGCCAGGCTCCTGCCGGATTCACACGGGGAGCAAACCCCCCCAGTACTTAGAGACTGAGGCTGTGGAGTTTTTGGCGCCTGGTGGCCAGCAGCCTGCGGCTGGGCCCCCGTGTCTGGCCGCCCCAGCAGAGGACAGGCACGCTGGGGCCGCCCGCAGAGGCCAGGGAGACCTGCAGTGCCCCCACTGCCTGCAGTGCTTCAGTGACGAGCAGGGCGAGGAGCTCTTCCGCCACGTGGCCGAGTGCTGCCTGTGAGCCGGGCCAGGGCTTCGCCCGTCCCCTCGAGCTGGGGGCCGGGTCCGAGGGCGCGTCCAGCAGGCTGGAGAGGGATGGACTTCGGGGGCCCTTCTGCGTCTGGTGCAGTTTGGGTCCCCAAGCTGTCAGGCCAGAGCAGGAAGACTGACAGGCTGAGGTGACAGCCCCGCCCCAGCTGGCCCCTGGGACACTGCAGCTCGCGTGAAGAGGCTGGTTTGTGGCGCACCCCGGTCACGTGGCCACCGCGGGCCGTGTGTCTGCACCGGAGCACACCCCGGTCACGTGGCCACCGCGGGCCATGCGTCTGCACCGGAGCACACCACCCACAGCCCTGGTCACCGAGCCCTGTTACAGCACTCTTACTTCCCAGCCACTGACTTTATAATAAACGCATCTGCTACAGTGACCGCTCTGAGGACACGGCGGGGCGGGGCGGGGGCCCAGCAGCACTTCCAGCCGGGCAGGGCTCAGAGCACGGCGAGAGGCAGCCCTGCGGCCCTCGGGACCAGGAGCAGGGGCGGCGGGCAGCGGGGTGCACAGCTGTCCCTCTGGCTGGGAGGACCCTCTTCCCACTGCGTTTGGGGAAGTCGTAGTAAAGGTCCACCTCCTCGGGGTTCGTGCTCCCCTCCTGGAACCTGCCTGGCACAGGGCCATGTCTGGTGGGGCAGCGGTATGGCAGGAAGTCTCACTGCCCTGAGGACTGGAACCAGGGGATGGGACAGCCCACAGAAGGGAACCCTCAGATCCCTGGCTGACCCCCACACGACGCACGCCTACAGTGGGCCTGCAGGACCCTGGCCAAGCACACGGGGACGCGGAGGTGCTGAGCAGACCTCGCGCTGTCCATCAGGCCCACGGTTTGCGCCTGGGCCTCCAGGTGGGAGGCCTTCGTGAGCACCTCGGGTTTTTCTCGGAAAGCCCAGAAGGGCCGCGCCTTAGGGGTATAGTTGACATCCAAGGACAAACCCGAACAGCCTTCCCTGAAAAAGCACAGGTTCCAGGCAGCCAGCCAGCAATCCACCCGCCTGTCGGAACAAAACCCAACTTTCCTCAGACACAAGCAGAACAGCAGCACCCACAGGTCCCAGTGCAGTGGAGCTGCTGGACCCGGGGAAAGGCAGGGGAGGAGGGCACCAGGCGAGCACGCTAGACGTGACCTCGAGGACGCTGACAGGCGCAGGGAAGTGACCGGGGGAAGACTGCCGCGGGGCGAAGAGCGTGGGCGGCGTGCCAGGGAGCACCCACCCCTCACAGCAGCAGGGTCCCGAGGGTTCTGAAACGGGCTCGGGACCAACGGAGTTTCTAGGAGGGGAGCGTTGTGCTTAGTAAACATACAATTACACGGTTTTTGCTAATGGAAGGTGCACTGTAAGGAACTAGGCAGCATAAAAGAGCTCTCGGGCGACCACTGACACAGCGGCGAGGGCTTTCAGTTCCAGATGCGTGTGTCAGAAATGAAGAAAGGTTAGAATTCAGTGATCCAAGTGCCCAGCTCAAGAAGCTAGGAAAAAGAACCACAGACCACCCCCACCCCCCAAAATAGACAAAAATGAAGGAGCAGAAATCAATGAAATAGCACAGAAAAATCAACATTGCCAAGAGTTCTTGTAAATAGTAATAAAACCAGGAAACCCTAGCGTGACTGATCAGGAACAAAGAGAAAACACGGGCTGCTAATATCAAGATTGAAAAGAGATCACTGTCCCTCTCAAAGATACAAAGACACTGTGAATACTTTATGCTAATAATACGTTTGACAGTTAGATGAAATGGTAAAATTCTTGAAAAACAACTTACCAAAAGCGACACAAGAAGAAACAGAAAACGTGAATAGCTCTATTTCCACTAAATAATTGACTGTAATTAAAAATCCTTCACAAGGACAATCCAGGCCCAGGTGACTTACTGCTGAGTTCTTCCGCACGGTTAAGAAAGGGATCCAATCCTGCACGTGCTCAGGAGACAGAGGGAATGCCTCCCACCTCGTTCTGTGACACCAAACCTGAGAAAGACAGGAAAAAAACGAAAGTAACATCTCTCGTGAACACAGATGCAGAAATCCCGAATAAAATATTAACACATTGAATTCAGCATATAGGAAGGATATTACCTCAAGGAATACAAGATTGGTTGACATTTAAAAACTCACTGAATGTAATTCACCATAATGAACAGAATAAGAGAAAAACCATGGAATCATCTCAATAGAAGCAGAAAAGGCCTATGGGAAATTCGATCCCCACGCATGGCAAACCCAGCCAGCCAGGAATCGCATTTCTTGTCTGATGACGGGTCTGTCTGAACACCTGTGCTGGACGCCACACGCTGAGGAGGCCGAGGTCGCCCTCACTCAGGAGGTCCCGCCCAGGGCGTGACACCAGGCCTACAGGACAGAAATTGGGAAAGAAGCAGCAAAATGCCCTTTTTGATGACACGATTATATGAATAAAATCCTAGGGGATCTTAAAAGTTTAAAATCAGTAAGTTGTCACAATCTTGAGGTACACAGTCAATATAGGAAACACTGTACTCCTGTGTTTGCAACACCTGGAAAAGCCGGTTTTCCCCTCCATTCCTCTCTAAGATCAGTGTAAACATACCCTCCAGCGAGGGTAAGGAAACCCTAGGTATACAGGTGTGCGTCATGAAGATGTGGAGGTCTCATCCCCGAGTCTGTGAAGGTGAGCTCACTGGAAATGGTCTTTGTAGACGTCTCCTGTGGCGTTCCGCTGGAACGGGGCCCACCTGCAGAGATGCAGGCACAGGCAGAGCAAAGTGCACGGGAGATGGGAGCGATGGCTCCCGTCAAGGCGGCCGGTGGCCCTGGGACGGCGCCGTCACAGCCCCCAGGAGGAGCCGGTCTTGCCCAGTGGGACCTTGGAGCTGCAGCCCCAGGACCGCGCGAGCACACCTGTCGCTACAGCCCCGGCCTGCGGCCCTTTGTTACACGGGCTCCAGGAAACAAGTGCCCGTCTGGACAGCGCGAGGCTACACGGGGCCTCGGAGAAGTGGGTGCAGGAGTGTGCAAAGCCTGCAGTAAGCGCCGTGAGCTCTGCAGAGGGCGCCGGAGGCCACACGGACAAGGCGCGGGCCCTGCACAGCCCAGCAGGTGGGGCCAGCAGGGTTAAGTCCGTGCGTCCGTCCACGTCTCTGCCTCCAGTCACAGGCACGTACACGCCCGGCGCCCACGGCCACTTCCCCAGTCCTCTCAGCCTGCACTTCCGGTGGTTCCCCACCAGGCCCTCAAGCTCACGGGCCCGCGACTCTGGCTTTCTCAGCTCTTTGGGATCTTTTTCTATCTTCCATTTCTTCCTCCACCTCGTTCGTCTCTCCCTCTCCACCCCTGAGTGTATTTGCACGACACCACAGCACTGGAAGGTTCCTGGCTGCCGTTCGTCATGTCCTTTGGGATCCGTGTCTGTTGTGGGTTTGGTATTTCTCCTGGCAGTGGTTTCTGTTGTCCTTCCTGGCCTGGCTGGTGATTTCTGCCTGGGTTCCAACTGGATTTTACTTCATTTAGTGCAGGCGGTTAAGCTCCTTAGGACCAGTTTGCTTAGCTTGTGGCTTTAGATCTCATTTAGGTCTAACTTAACCCCACTGCTGAGATGTAACCGTTGCAGGGACTCAACACAATGCCCGGCTGTGGGACATGGCCTCTCCCCGGCTGCTGGACCGCTGTCGCAGCCCTCCTGCTCCCCGGCATCCCCCGAAACGCAGAGCTTGGCTCCACTCGTGCACGCGCAAATAGGTTCGAGGGCATCTGCCGGTCTCCGGGCTCTCTGTGTGCGTCCCCGCCTGCCTGGGGCTCCACCCCACAAACCCAGCTCCTCGGCTTCCCCCAATGCCAGCCTCGCGTCCTGCACCAGCCGCGGGCTCTGTGCTGAAGAAATGGCCTCCCTGTGGGCCCTCAAAGACCCCACGTCGCCAGAGAGTCTTGGGAAACAACGCACTGCCAGGCGCTTGCAGTCAGAAGGGAACAGCACCGGCACAAGGTGCAGGCGGGTCGGGCGGAGCCGAGAGCCAGGGACAGTCTCACTTCCTCGGCGACGGTGGCAGGAGGCAGGACAGCGGGGCAAAGACTAAGTACATGGACAACTGGACAGACACGTGCGAGATGAGATGGGACCACTTTCTTACACCACATACAAAAATAAACTCAAATGGATTAGAGACTAGGCTGTAACACTTGAAACCAGGAACTCCCAGAGCAGCGGTTTTCCACCGATGGGCTGCAAGCATCGTTCAAACGTGCCACACCTGACTGGTCGGGCTCGGACCGCTCTTCCCTTCGACTGTCCAATAAAAGTGACAACAGCCAACACAGCAATAGCTGTTGGGTGTGAATGAATAAAAATTACACCTATTTTTTTGTCAGATGGGCAAAAATATTTTTTGGTGTGCCCGGAACTGTAGTAACTTTTTTGTGCCAGGAGATGACCAAGGTCGTAGGAAGTTGCTGACTCAGGAGAAAGCAGGCAGTGAGCTGACGCTGCTCTGAGCCATCGTTTTAGATCTGTCTCCTCGGGCAAGGGCCACAAAAGAAAAAGTACACCCCCGGCCGTGTGGCTCAGTGGCTGAGCATCGACCCATCACCAAGAAGTCCCAGTTCGATTCCCGGTCAGGACACACGCCCAGGTTGTGGGCCCGATCCCCAGTGGGGGGCATGCAGGAGGCGGCCAGTCGATGTTCTCTCTCATCGATGTTTCTCTCCCTCTCTCTCCCTTCCTCTCTCTCTCAAATTGATAAAGAAAAAAAATTAAAAAACATAAAAGATAAAAGGAACTTCATCAAACTAAAGTTTTTGCACAATGAAGGAAACCATCAACAAAACAAAAAATCCTAAAAATGGGAGAAACACTTCACCAATGATACCTCCAATGAGGGATTAATATCCAAAATGTATAAGCAACTCATACAACCTAACACCGAAAAACAATCCAGGGAAAAGTCAGCAGAGGACCTGAACAGACACTTCTCCACAGAGGACAGACAGATGCCGTCAGACATGTGAGAAGATGCTCAAGGTCACTGATCATCAGACGCAATCAAGCCACAGCGAGCTACCGCCTCACGCCTGCCAGAAGGGCCACCATGAAGAATCCACACAAGTGCTGGCGAGGACGGAGAAATGCGCCCTCGTGCGCGGCGGGCGGGAACGCAGGCTGGTGCTGCCACCGTGTCGCTTCCTCAGAAAGTGTGAAATAGGAACTGACGGTGACCCACGGTTCCACGTCTGGGTGTTTCTCTGAAGAAAACAAACACACCAATCAGAAGGATGTGCACCCCCGCGAGCACTGCAGCGCTATGTACATAAGCCAGATGTGGACAGACCTCAGCGTCCGCCAGCAGACAACGGGCATGTGGGAATGCCCACAGTGGAGTCTCACTCAGCCATAAGGAATGAAATGTTACCATTTCCAACAGCGTGGACGGACCTGGAGGGTACTAAGTGAAATCGAATGAACAAATAAACTGAAGAACAAAATAAAACCACAGGCAGAGCACAGACTAATGGTTGCCGAGGGGAGAGCGTTAGGGGAGGGAAATAAAAAGAACACATTAAAAAATAAGACTCGCTGCAAAGAAACAGGGACCTCCCCCGGGCCTCCTCACAGCACGGCCTGTCAGGGCGCTGCCTGTCCACATGCTGAGCCAGCCTCACAGCACGGCCTGTCAGGGCGCTGCCTGTCCACATGCTGAGCCAGCCTCACAGCACGGCCTGTCAGGGCGCTGCCTGTGCACATGCTGAGCCAGCCTCTGAATCAGAACCTCAGCGAGCCGGCTGCCGCTGCAAGCCGGAACAGAACCGGAACAGAACCAGCGCAGCCTGCGGGCAGGAGGCGGGCGCTCAGCTCACCTGCTCCCCCTCCCCCCGCACACTCAGCTCCAGCTGCCTCTGCTCGGAGCGGGAACCTCCTCTACGTAGGTCCTCGGGCCTGGCCAGCCGGCTCCGTTGGTTGGAGGTCATCCTCTTCACCGAAAGGTTTCAGGTCCGATTTCCCAGTCAGGGCACATACCTGGGTTGCGGGTTCGATCCTGGGTCAGAGCACGCAGGAAGCAAACCAACTGATGTTTCATCTCACACCGATGAAACAGTAAGACACAAAGCAATAAAACACATCCCGGGGTGAAGATTTAAAAAAAGTTACGGAAAATGCCTCAACTCCATGGCTGTGCCTGGCAGGACAGCTCGCGCAGCACTGGCCCCGCAGGGGCGTCATGCCCTGTGGGCGTCATGAGCACGGCCTGTCGGCTCGCCCTGCAGCAGCACAGTCCAGAAAACACCCTGGGCGCTGCCAGGTGTTCCCAGCTAAGTGCTCAGCAGGGCACACCTGCAGCTCTACTTGTCTGACGTGTCAGCTCAGACAGTGGTGCCTGGGGGTGTCGCGACGAAGACCCCAACTCGTCACTGTACTTCAACCCTGTCGTTCTGTGGGATGACTGGGAGCTGTTGTGTTCAAAACCGTGACGTGGTGTATGAACTGTGGGGTACGTTCTTTCTCCTTTTAAAAACCACAGGAATGAAATCAGCTTGGCCAGCGTGGCTCAGTGGATTGAGCATCGCCCCGTGGACTGAGAGGGCCCAGTTCGATTCCTGGTCAGGGCACATGCCCGGGCTCGGGCTCCATGCCCAGTAGGGGGCGTGCAGGAGGCAGCTGGTGGATGCTTCTCTCTCACTCTCCTAGAAAATCAGTTTCTCTCTCTCTTCCCTAAAAAAAAAAAAACCCCAAAAAACTACAGTAATGAAATCAAGAAGTACTAACCCTCCCTTTCTGGTACCATAACACTCATTTCGAATATCTAATTTTAATGTTGAGTGCGTAGGCAAAGCTCAGTAAGACATTTGTACCGTCCAAGTTTCTCCTCCAGACCGCAGGCCGACGCTCTAACCTCTGAGCCAAACTGGCCAGGGCTACCGTCCAAGTTTCTTTCCAGCTGCTGCCTCCCCTCCCCTCCCCACAGGCAGGACACTCGCGTGCCCTGTGGGAGGCCCCCAGAGAGGGACCTCACCAGACCCAAGGGCACTGGAGCTGGACCCCGCACAGGCACACCTTGGGCCTTAGTTTCCCCATCTGTAAATGCCACAAGGGGTGAGGCCTGCCCGAGCACCCCAGCCTCGGGCGGGCTGAGCCCAGGAGTCGTCCCCCTCTTCTAGTCCTCTGGACCAAGTCCAGCCTCCTCTCTGTCCCTGACAGCCGGGACGGTGAAGTGACATCCCGCCCCCGTGAGGATCCGAAGGAGCATCAGGGTGGGTCTGGCAGGACAGGACCAGTGGTTTCCAGGACAGCGAACGGAAGTGTTCAGACACGAGCTGCCTGGGTGGCAGGTCGGAGCAGGGTGCGAAAGCTGGCAGGTGGGACCACTGCAGAAACTGGTGCTCAGTGCTGGGGCACATGGGGTCCCCCACCTCTCTCGGCTGCAACGGGACCTGCGGTTCCTCTCAGCAGCCAACTGGCCCCACAGGACAGGCGAGGTGGGGCCGGCCCCCAGCACAGCCTCCAGACTCCGCAGGGAGGTCGGGCAGGCAGCTTCCCGGGGGGCGCAGAGGCCCGGGCTGCCCAGTGGGCCCAGTGCCTGGCCAACCCTGGCCCTGCCCTCATCGTGACCCCTGCTTCAGCCAGAGGGGTGAGGCCCGCTTGGGCATGAGTACCAGGGGCTGTACTGGCCACTGCCCTTCTCGAGGGCACCTCTGGCCAGTCTTCCCTCGTGGCCCAGCCTGCCTCCCCTCTGCCGGGTCACCCCAGGAGCTGAGCTCCACCCAGAAACAACATGACAAGCTGCCTTGGGCCACTCTGGCTACCTCCCACCCCACCCCCTCCCTCGAGGTTCCCACCCTCATGCCTAGAAAACCAGCTTCCACGGGTTCTGGTCCAGATACCTCAGCAGAGCCCCAACGCCAGTCCCTGGCCTTCACCCAGTGGCCCTGCCCTGGCCGGTCTCCCTGCCCCGAGCCATTGGGCTGTCTGCAACCTTCCCCATCCTTGGCGCCAGTCCTGGGACTTGGACCCCTCTGTCTACACTCGACCCCCCACCGAGGACGGGCAGCACTGTCGTCCTTGTCCCCTCTCGTTCTCCTGCCTGCACCCCGGCTGGCAGGACGCCCTGGGGACCGGCCGTCAGAGCGCTTCCAGGGGTGGGCGACTCCCCTCCGTCTGCACACAGAAGCAGGGCCGGCAACTCCCCACCAGGCCCCGCCCCGCCCCGCGGCTGTGCGCAGGTTTCTAGGAGGCTGGGGGCACTGGGAGCCCTGGAGTGTTCCAGGAGCGGAAGCTGGGCTGCACCGGAGGCAGCTCCACGTGAGCTTCCGGAACTTGCCAGAGAGATCGCAAGGGAAAGGGACCAAGTTGGGACTCCTTTCTTCATTTTAAACACTACGCATGGTCTGGCCAGTGTGGCTCAGTGGTGGAGCCGACCTATGCACCAGGGGGTCGCCTGTTTGGTTCCCGGTCAGGGCACGTGCCCAGGTTGTGGGCCCGATCCCCAGTGAGGGGCGTGCAGGAGGCGGCCAGTTGATGTTCTCTCATCAGTGTTTCTTTCTCTCTCTCCCTCACTCCCTCTCTGGAATCAATAAAGGAAAAATAAAGAAAAAAACACTATTCATGTTCCTGATTTATACCCAACTTAGGATTTGTAATTTCTTACTGTTTTATTAGAGATCACAACCCCCAAAGCTGAATAGGTACCTGCCTCCACAGCTGTGTGTCGCCCCGGCCTGCAGACCCTGCTCCCTTGCTGTCTCCCTCCTGGGCGCCCCCGGGGCCGCCCCGCTGCTCTAGCACCTACCACTTCTGGTCGAGCTGTCCTGGGGCTCAGGCCCGGGAGAAACGAGGCACAGAGGACGGTGAGGGCACCAGGAGCCCTGAGCTGCCACCTGGGGTGGTGGCCTGGGCCCCCTTGAGGGGACAGCCACCCACATACCCCACCCCCGCCACACCCCATCACCCCAGCAGAAAGCAAGCAGACGAGGTCTCCTGCTGCTAATGTATTCCATCTTTCAAAAAGAAAGACATGATTTTAATATTACTTAACAATATGTTAAAAAGTAGCCAGGCAGGCCTCCGTGTTAATACAGTCGCACACTAACAGACTGGATGGTGAGTACTGGGCGGATTCTGTTTGAACGTGCTCACTCTGCAGGGTCCTACACAGCTGGCTACAAGTCGGGGCGGACAAGACGGCGCGACGTGCACACTCGACAGTCGGCTGTGGAGGTCGGAGCGCGCCTGCCCCGCCTGCCCATCTCGGTGGGAGCTGAGTGATGGTGTTGCCCGGGGGACAGACGACAGGACGGGGCGAGATGCAGAGGCGACGGAGCCACGTGGATGATGCAAACTCGTCTCGGGCCATGGCCCAGGCCTCCGAGGCCACGGTGGCGGGAGCTACTGTCCAACCCGATGGCAGAGCTACGATCAAAGGCTCACAGACTACACGCACACGAGCTAACAATGCGGCCGGGCAGCACGCCCAGGGTCTGGTCCCAGGTGCTGTGGCATGGGCACGGCCTGGACCTGGGTGAGCTCCCCGCCTCCCTCTACAGCGATTGTTCAGTGGGCAGCAAAGGTGGCTTTCTTCAAGCTAAAATTGGACCAGTTGATGGACAGTCTCTGTCGGGTCTGTCTGGCGGAATCCAAGCAGAATCTGGAAGACAAAAAGCCAAACAGTCACCCAAGCCGGTGTCCTGGGGCACAGTGCAGGGACCCTCCACACATGCCCTCTGGCTGCACCAGGTCCCCATCTTCAGGACAATGGCGGGTGCCCTGGACACTGTGTGTCATCCTTTCCAGCTTGCTCTGAAGGGAGCTGCTCAAGGGACATTTCTGATGGGCCTGTCTGGGAATGGGGAACCTCGGGGTGGCTGTGCTATACCAGGGAGCTGCAACGGCTCCACCTGTCCCTCCCCTCCCAGCCTCGGGGCCCAGGAAGGGCCAGTCTCTGCCCCCCAGCTCTGGATCACAAGCCGTGCGCTCAGCAGCACTTGGAAAAGACCACACAGTGCACCTGCTTCCCAGGAACAATGGACAATGTGTTAGATAAAGAAAAGGACATTGTCTTTCAAAAACCTACACTTTGGTCCTGGCTGGTTTGGTTCAGCAGTTAGAGCATCAGCCTGCGGTCCAGAGAGACCCAGGCTCGGTTCCCGCTAAGGGCATGTACCTCGGTTGCTGTTTGTCCCCGACCCTGGTTGGGTCGTGCAGGTGGCAACCACTCGATTTAAACTCCAAAGTTCTGCCCATAAACAAGAAATACTCCTATTCCATCACCTTCTCCCCAGAATCCAGGACAACCACTGTCTTAATAATTCAAGTAATTTACCTATAGATTCTTTTGTACTTTGCACAAATTTGTACCCGTCTGAGAATAATAACATTTCTTCCTTTTATTTCTTTTTTATGCCTTTACAAACAGAAGTTGTGATATGGGTATCCTTATCTTTTTTTTAATCTCAAGGGATCATTTTCTTTTATTTATTAAAATTTTTAAGATTTTTTAAAAGTTTTTTTTCTTTATTGATTTTTATAGAGAGAGAGGAAGAGAGAAGGAGAGAGAGAAACATCGATGAGAGAGAAAATTGATTGGCCGCCTCCTGCATGTCCCCCACTGGGGATCCAGCCCACAACCTGGGCATGTGCCCTGACTGGGAATCAAACCAGCAGCTTCCTGGTGAAGGGTCAACACCCAACCACTGAGCCACACTGGTCGGGCTTAGGGATAACTTTTAACGTTTCACTATTACATATGACATTTACATATGTTATTGATCAGTTATGTTAAGAATGTGTCCGTCACATCTTAGCTAGGTGTTGTTATTACGAACGGGTGTTTGGCTGTAGCAAATGCTGGCCTGCATGTAAGATAAAGTATCTGCACATCACATAAATTACATAACAGATGCACACAATGTCCTGAAACAGCCAGGCTGCTCCGTCTGTGCTGTGACGGAAGGCCGGGTGCTCCGGCAGGCAGGACCTGTGCTCAGTCCTCGCCCAGGGCGCGCCCCTCTGATTCTCGGCGGGGGGATGAGGGGGCACACACACACACTGGCTGCTGCCACCCACACAGCCCCAACTGGGGCTGGGGATCGAACCCTAGCTCAGGTACATGCCCTTGACCAGAATCAAACCCAAGACCCTTTGGTCTGAGGGCTGACACTAACTGCTGAGTGAAACTGGCCAGGGCAGAACATAGACTTTTTTGGTGTGTGTGTCTTTGTTTGTTAATCCTCACGGGAGGATACTTTTCCCTGAGATTTTCTAGAGAGTGAAAAGAGAGGAGAGGGGGAGAGATAGAGAAACATGGATGTGAGAGAGACACATGGACCGGTTGCCTCCTGAACATGCCCTGACTGTGGCAAGGATGAGCCTGCAACCCCAGCATGTGCCCTTGACCAGGAATCAGACCCAAGACCCTTTGGTACAAGGGTCAATGCTCTTAACTACCAAGTCACACTGGCCAGGGCAGAACAAGGAGTTTTAAAATAAAATTTTTGCCATAATTCACAGAGCAGATAAAATATTATTAAGCAGAGTACTAATAAAGTCTGATTAGGAAAACGAGCAAACACCTAAAATGTCACCTTTCTCCTTACAAGCCGCCTCAGCACACCTGTCATCAGTGTGTGAGAACACACTGGGCTCCTCCCCAGAGTCTGATTCAGCAGGTCCGGGAGGCACCCCAGTTCCCAGGTTATGCTGCGGGTCCAGGACCACTCTGAGGACCACTGCCATGAACCAGTCTCCGCACACACGGGGAGGGTGAAGGGAGCAAGTGAGAGCGAGTGACAAGGCCAGAGTGTGTGCTGCCGTGGGGCGGGAGGGGTGTGGCAGGCGCTCACAAGCAGAGCTGCTAAGTAGCGGGCTCTCTGGCTGACTGCAGAACTGCTGCCAGAGCCACGGAGGGTCCCTGTGGGAGCCACGGACCACCGTCTCCCGGACACTCATCCTGGCATTTACCTTTTGAAATATTCCACTTCCCTCTCCGTCTCATCCATATCCACACTGTCTAGGTCGATATCTTTAGGCAGAAAGACATCATCTGTGAAAGGAAAGGAAAGGAAAGAGGCAAGTCACATTATAGGAGCAGGCCATCTTAACAGCGCTCTAGAACTCTGTGGCACCAGATTCCCCAAGTGATCTGTCATCAACTGACAGGTCTCCATGATGGGAGAGGCCTGAGAAGATTCCTAAAACCCTGCTGCATGAGATCCCAGAGGCTGTTCCCAGTCCTTGCTGGAGGGAGGGAGGGGCAGGGCATGGCCGTCAACAGCAGCTGCTGGGAGGCAGCCCCGCAGGGAGGACAGAGCTCCAGGTGCCTGCAGTGAGAGGACAGGAGAGCCCAGGGTCCGGACATCAGTCTGCAGACAGACGGCTCTGCTGCGCTCAGTTACATGTTCAACACCCAGAGTTCTCACCAAGAAATTTCCAGGCTGCTCCAATCAGAAAGCAGGGCTCTATTCCACTCTGCCGTCCGACAGCCCTCTCTGGGCAGGGCAGGCCACAGGAGACTGACTCAGGACTGCCGTGTCTGTGCCTCGCGTGCCCAGGGCGCCTCAGCGCTCGGCGGGGCCGCTTGGGGCAAGGCTCCACTGCCCTGCAGGCTCAGCATGGGGCCAGCTGCTGGAATCTCTAGTGAATAAAAACCTCCTTCCCTCTTACCGCTGGGGCATCTCCATAGCAGCACAATCAAGACACGGTTTACCTGCAGAACGGCAGGCAATGCCTTCACACCTGTGAGCTCACAGAAATGTCACTGAAGAGCTTCCCCAAGGACTTGCACGGTGGCATGACCACGGCCACTCCAGCAGACAGTGCCCCTAACCTGGGTCTCCTCCTCTGCGTAGCACCTCCGCCCTCCCGTGTCCCTGTGGCTTCAACCACACCTGGATACCACACCACAGGACCTCCACCCCCATCTGGACCCCTTCCTGAGCTCCATCCACACAGCTGCCTCCTCTGTACATTCACCCTTCAAGTATGTGACCCCCAACAGGGCAAAACTGCACCCCTCTGGATCTGCTTCCAGCCTGACAATGACCTAGAAACACCCCCCCTTCCACCCTGCCAAGCAAGTTCTGGCAAGTTCTTCACCCCATCCCACTGCTTCGGTGCTGCCCCCCCCCCCCGCCCCCACCAGGCTCCTGGTCCAGGCTTCCACCCACGCCCAGCCTGCACGGCTTCCCCTTCAGGACACCTCGCACCACGCGTCTCTGTGGCCGATCCCTCCCCCCGGCCACCAAGACTGCTCAAGGGGGTCTCTCCTGGATGTCTGCCGACAGGCCCGACCAGGGAGCACTGGTGCTGGAGGGAGGCGAGGCGGCGCGAGTGTCTGTGGGTGCGAGAGCGCCCAGAAAGCAGTCTGCAGTGACTCCAGGCCGTCCCAGAGGACGGCTCCCACGGCAGAAGCACAGAGCGGGCAGGTCTGCAGAGCCTGCTGCATCAGAGTGGTCTTCAACATCCCTTTCTTTTCTAATTAGAACTAGTACCAGTGCTAAAACCTTGGTGTGAGAAGAAAATGAGACAACACTATAACTAGATTTAATGTCAGGAAACCACTTTTCAGAACAACAACACGATACTGACCAGAATGGAAAAAGGCACCACCAAGAACTTCATGCTCGGCCAGGTCTGTTCCTGGTTGAGGCCACAGGGAACTGCGCCCTTGGCCACAGCGCAGAGAATTCCGGGCCTGAGCCCTACCTGAGGACACGTGCCTGGGGCTCCACCCAACCAGAGGGTGGCGAGAGCCCCGCAGGGACTGACCTGTGGACCCGAGCGCGGGCGTGTTCTGACGAAGCAGAGGACAGAGAGAGGACAGGAGGACGAGGGGATCCCCTCACTGACTGTCTCCCCGCGGCAGGTGGCATCAGGGCGCACAGGAGCAGGCCGGGAGAGGCAAAGCCGGGAAACCAGGGTGGGCACTGCAGGGGAACGGCCCCACGAGGACAGAACACCAAACACCAACAATTTTTAGAAGTGAGAGAGCAAAGGAAACACATCACACAGAAAACAAAAACTGCAAATGTAGAACACAGAGAATTTATAAGACAATGTCCAGGTGAAGACCAAAGAATAATTCAGTGACTGCAATAGATGGCGATGGGCTCACCTCCCCTACAGAAAAGGTCTCAGACAGGCCTGTGCTGCGCACAGAGAAGGACCTACACCAAGGGCCTCCCAGAGCCCAGAAGTGCAAGGTGAGGACAAAGGCACCAGGCGCACCGAGACAGAGAGGGGCAGCAGCCGCCGTCTTAGGCAAAGTGGATCCAAGCCCAAAGCATGAAACACAATATAAGAAACATTCTTTTACACTGAAAGCCGCGATTCACTGAGCAGCTCCCAGTGGGAACGGCCGGACAGCGCCGGAACCGCCTGCACGAGCAGCGCGGCCAGAGGCGCGAGGGGCGGACCCTCACCAGTGACCGTGCGGGCAGGTCAGGAGGACGAGCAGGCACCGAAGACCTGGACCTGGGCAGGCTTCATTGTGACCTCACGGCTACACACGGGGCTTCAGACCACAGCAGAGAGGAAACACGTTAAGTGCACGCGGAGCGGTCCTTGGAGTTGGTCACAAGCAAAGTATCAGTAAGTTTCATGAAGCAGAAATATTACAAACAACACTCTAACCACAGTGTAAAAAATCCTAGAAATTATCAACATAAAAAAGCCACCTACTAAGCTACTGGGTGAGAGAGAAAAAAACCACATGGGGCCCAGCCGGTAGGCTTAGTGGTTGAGCATCGACCCTGCACCAAGAGGTCACCAGTTCGATCCCCGGTCAGGGCGCATGCCCAGGTTGTGGGCCCGATCCCCAGTGGGGGGCATGCAGGAGGCGGCCAATCGATGTTCTCTCTCATCGATGTTTCTCTCTGTCTCTTCCTCTCCTTTCCTCTCTTTCTAAAGTCAATAAAAAAACAAAAAACACACACATGGAAATTACTGAATTTCTTAAAAACACAAAACAGACACATTATCAGAGAATATTGTATACATTTAAAGAAATGATCAGAGGGAAACTCAAAGCATCTCAACACTGTCATTGGTAAGAACGGTGGAAGAAAAACAAAGGGACAAATTCCCAAATCAAAAAGTCAGAAAGTGAACAAAGCAAAATAAAAGAAAGCACAGGAAGAAAATAAAGATAAAAGCATAAATTAATGAGAAAGAAGAAAGACTAACAATAAACCTGATTAATAAATCAAGGGACTGGTTTTGTAAATATTAACAAAAGAGAAAATCTATTAATTAAATAAAACAGAATATGGAGATCACAAATTTACACAATAAAAAAAGACAAGAGAAAAAAGGAAATTTAAAAAAATATATGTACTTTCTAGACATCTATGTAAATAAATTGGAAAATCTAGCTAGCTGGATAATTTACTATAGAAACACAGTTTACCAAAATTAACCTCACTAGAGACAGAAATACTAAACAGACCAATTTCCATAGAGAAAAAGCAAATATTACCAAGGAACTACCCCCGAAAAATGCACGAGGCCCAGACGACTGCACAGATCCCAGTGCAGGTGAATTGTTCTAGAACACTGAACACTGAAAATGAAAGCAAACCGACTAATTCTTCATGAAGCATCACACAATGTGGGAAGAGGTAGGGTCACAGTGGTGAATACACGAAAGTTTTCTCTTGTATTACTTAATAATTATTGTGTTATTTTCCATATGAACAACTGTGAATCTACTTTTACCCCACCCTGTATAATGCCCAAAGCAAATGTAGACTGAAGCAAGAAAAAGTTACACGGTTATATTTCTTGAGAATATTAATGTGAAAATATTAAATAAATAGCATAGCAAACAGAATCCAAAACAAAAAGACTATAAAACTTTACAAGGTGCCCTGGCCAGTTTGGCTCAGCGGTTAGAGCGTCGGCCTGTGGTCCAGAGAGACCCAGGTTCGGTTCCCGCTAAGGGCACGTACCTCAGTTGCAGTTTGTCCCTGGCCCTGGTTGGTCGTGCGGGTGGCAGCCACTCGATGTGTCCCTTTCATGTCAATGTTTCTCTTTCTCTCTCTTTTCCTCTCTCTCCCTCCCACTCTACTTGAACAAAAAATGGAAAAATGTCCTCAGGTGAGGATAAAAAAAAACAAAAAAAAAACTTTACAAGGAATCCAAGGTTGGTTCAATATTAGAAAATCCAGTAATGTTATGTCTAAGAAGAAAAATCACATTTATGTTCACAGATGCTACAAAAGCTTTGAAAAATTTCACACCTGCTCCTGATAAAAATACCCAAGAGAAGAAAGAATCCCTGGATATTTTCTTAACATGGTGAAACAAATACACTGCATGCATCCTACAGCCAGAATGCTAATGCAGAGATACCAGACACTCCTATTAAAGACCAAGAATGATGCTCAGGACGAGACAAAGCACTCAGAGGGACACAAGCTGGAAGAGCAGAGGTCAGCTTTCCCTACGTGCAGGAATAGCACAGAGCACCTACAAAACCCTGCAGAACCGACAGCTTCCTATACAGATAACCAGGTAGAATAGTAGCCAGCAGAGCAGGTATAAGATTTTCTAGGAGCCACATTAAATAAGTGGAAGAGCCCTGGCCAGTTTGGGTCAACGGTTACAGCGTTGACCCACAGACCAATGAGTTGCGGGTTCGATACCGGTCAAGGGCATATACCTACCTGGCTGCGGTTCATCCCCAACCCTGGTTGGGTCATGCGGGAGGCAGCCAGTAGATGTGGCTCTATCACATCGATGTTTCTCTCTCTCTCCCTCTCCCTCCCTCCCACTCTATCTGATAATAAGTAGAAAAATATCCTCGGGTGAGGAAGAAAAAAAAAAATAGAAGGAGGTGTAATTAATTTTAGTAACATGTATTTTACTTAATATGTCCCAATGATTGTCTCAACATGTAATCAGTATAAAAAATTACATAAAGATATTTTACATTTTTTTTCCCTGCTAGATTTTCATAATCCAGTCAAACACACTGAAAACACTCAGAACGCTCAGCTGCTCAAGGGTGAGCAGGCCTCACGGGACTGATGGCAGCTGCCGCACTGCCAGCCAGGAGCGGCAAGAAGACACAGGTAGCGAACACTCCATTTAGGGTAGAAACAAGGAAGATTTGTACTTCAAAATAAGCCACAAAGACACCGGCTCTCCCTAAATTAATTTATAAACTTAAATCAATCCCAATAAAAATACCAACAAGCTTTCTTTACGGCACACTGATACTAAAGTTCACACGGACACACAAGCACGAAGAATAGCCAGGAAAACACCAACAATGAAGACGAAGCCTCTACACCAGCGGTTCTCACCCTTCCTGATGCCGCGACCCTTTAATACAGCTCCTCGTGTGGTGGTGACCCCTAACCACAAAATTATTTTCGTTGCTACTTCATAACTGTAATTGTGCTACTGTTATGTCTTAGGCGACCCCTGTGAAAGGGCCGTTCGACCCGCAAAGGGGTCGTGACCCACAGGTTGAGAACCGCTGCTCTGAAACTAAGGAACTCAGAGCCATTGTAGCAGAGGAATAAGCAGTGACAAAGAACAGGAAACTGTGTGCAGCGCAAAGATGCAGGTACCGTCAGCAAGGCAAGATGGACGTTTTTTTTCTTGGCTAATCCTCAACCGAGGATATTTCTTCCACTGATTTTTACAGAGAGTGGAGAGAGGGAGGGGACAGAGAGAAATCTGCAACACAGGTACGTGCCCTTGACCGGGAATTGAGCCCTTCTGTGCAAGGGCCGATGCTCTAACCACTGAGCACACCGGCCAGGGCAAGATGAACTTTTTGATAACTGGTGCGGGGACAACGGGCTAACCATTTGGAAAAGATAAAATTGGATCCACACCACACATGACACACAATAAATTCCACATGCTCCTGGAGTTAAAGGAAAGAACTGGAGCCACACCACTACTGGAGGAGACCTGGGCACAGGCCTCTTCAAGCTGAGTGTTAGGGGGAAGCTTTCTCACACCTACTTCAAATCCACAGGCAGGCCAGCAGGTGCGGCTCAGCTGGGTGAGTGTCGTCCTGTGCACTGAAAGGCTGCAGGTTTGATCCCTGGTCAGGGTACATGCCTAGGTTGTGGGTCCGATCTGCAGTCGGGGCACCTATAGGAGGCACCTGGCCGATGTTTCTCTCTCACATCCATGTTGTCTGCTCCCTTCCTCTCTTCAAGCAGGACCGCAGGTGAGCACTAAAGCCCAGAGGCAGTACGAGGGGGAGAGACTGCCACAGAAAAGTGGAGACAGCTCTGGCCGGTTTGGCTCAGCGGTTGGAGCGTCGGCCTGTGGTCTGGAGAGACCCGGGTTCGATTCCCGCTAAGGGCATGTACCTCGGTTGCAGTTTGTCTCCGGCCCTGGTTGGTCGTGCGGGTGGCAGCCACTCGATGTGTCCCTTTCACATCGATGTTTCTCTCTCTCTCTCTTCCTCTCTCTCCCTCCCACTGTACCTGAACAATAAATGTCCTCGGGTGAGGATTAAAAAAAAATATAGAAACAACCCTTAATTAGAGAAAAACACAAATGAAAACTACACTGTAGACAGATTTTGCCTAACAGACTGACTCAATTACCAAGCCTAATGTGAAACTAGGATGTGGGGGACACAATGGAGGGCTTGGAGCAGCTGGGGGGACCCTAAGAAAACACTGCCCGCACTACCTTCTGACCCAGCACAGCCTCGCCCAGAAAGTCGCGGAGGAAACCCGTGCACGCGTGCCCCACAGCACGGCTCGGATTCTAGGCGGTGGGAACACCCAGCTGCCTGTTCACGGGCCCATTTCCAGCGGAGTGTTGCACCCTGGAGAACCAGTGAGCCCACCTCGGTGAGCTGACACCCAGGGATTCCCAGAATATAGTAAGTGGACAGAAAAGCAAAGGGAAAAGGAACGTCTCTAGTATGCTAGCTTTTGTGTAAAAAGGGAAAGCAAAGAAGAAACCGTGTTACTACAGAAAGTGGGTGGGCGTGAGATGGGAAAATACAGGACGGGGAAGAGAAAGGACAAATGCACACAAACAGAATGAAAGCCTCTGCGTCCCCACGAGCAGCTGTCACTGCACTGCGGGCACCGAGACAACTGACCGCCCTGGGAAAGGGCTGATCCCAGCTCCTCGGGTCACTGTGTGCCATCCACTGCCTGGTCTCGCCGGGGAGGGAGGGCGCATCTGAAGGGACCAACGTGTATTCCAGCACTGAAGCCAGCAGCAGACACACGGGCAGACACACTGGGAACAACGGGGTCTGAGCAGGGAGCCGCAGATGTGAGTGGGAGGCGAGGAGCCCCACACCGGGGTGGGAGCGGAGTTTTCTCTACAGAAACGGGATATTCTCTCTCTCTCTCTCTCTCGCACACTCGCACACACACACACACACACACACACACCCAGGCTTGTGTTTCTAAGTGCCACCTCCACTAGAAAGGACGAGGGCTTCCTATAGAAATGGTTGACTCAGGGCTGGAATGGGGACACCACCACAGGAGCTGGGGACACCAAACGTGCAGAGAGTAGGCAAGTGCTCTGAGAACAAGGTCGAGGCGCCACGTCGAGGGGGCCAAGGATGGAATCTGGGCTGGTCAGGTCAACAAAGTGAACATAATCTATAGCAGAGAAACCATGATCCCACCCTCGAGCAGTCACACGAAGGAAGCACACACGGTGGGAAGGCCAGCTCCGCCTACAGAAAGCTCAGTGAGAAACGCAGAAAACATGGGAGTTGGCACCTGGGAGCAGCCATCTCGAGCAGGAACTGGCAGTGGTGCTATAACCGGAGGGTGAATGACAGGGGCTTCTCCCCACCCACACGTCGGCGTTGCTCTGACAGTGGATGGACCGGGCAGCCGCCACCTCAGCCAGGGTCTGTGCCGACACCAGCAGGTGTTGCGCCCTCCCGACGGCACTCGCAAACAAGGACCCACCACATGTTGTGCCCAAAATACACACTCTGAACCTGACTGTGAACAAATGCCACACAACCTAATAAAATCACTCTAAAACAAAGTGGGCTGTACTCTTTAGAAACCTCAAGGCCGTGAAAAACGGAGGAACTGACCCACTAAAGGAAGTTAAAGAGAGGTGAGGTGATCCTGGGCTGGATCACGTCAGGAGAAACAACACAAACCTTTTTCTCTCGACGACATGGAAGTGACAACTGCAGGGACAGGTGTACCACTAGGTGCCGATACTGTACCGTGTGACCTTCTCCATTCTGACGACTGTGTCATGGTTTTGTGAGAGTCTCCTTGTTCTGAGGAAACACACACTTAAGTATTTCAGGGCAAAAGGCCATCGAGTCGGGAACCACTCTCATTGGGTTCAGAAACATAATGAAGAGGGAGGGCATGGTAACGTGCTGATTTGGGGAACTGGAGTGTGCAGGATTCGCTGTACTCGCAGTTTTTTTTTTTTAGAAATCTAAAATTATTTCAAAATTAAAAAATATGACAATGGCCATTTGTTTGGTAAAAAGCCAAAAAAAGCCCAAAGCGGGGGCAGATCAGGCAGCACCGGGTCTGTGGGGGGACAGGCTGTGAGGGGAGGGAGCCCGTCCCATCTCCTCAGACAGCCTCGGACATGGGCCAGGCGCCCTGCTTGGACTCACCTAGCGAGCTGCTGGCTCTGTCTCCCTTCTTCTTCCTGCTCTTCTTGCTCTTGCCCCTGGGCTGAGGGGAGTCGGCGGGCCCCGGCTTGCTGCTCTGTGGGCGCTCACTGGGGCAGGCTGGCTCCGAGGGGCCTGGGCTCGCCTTCCCCTCCTTCACGTGGTTCAGCTGCTTCTTGTTGTTGTTGTTGCTGTTGGCTTTTCTCTCCTCCCTCTTCTGCTCTGCCAGGGAAGTGAGGTCAAGCACTTTAGCCTTTGGCTCAGTCTGGGGCCGGGGTCTGGGCTGGCCCTCTGAGGCTCTGGGGGGCTCTGCAGGCCTCCTGCCTGGCTCACTACCGGCCTTTCCGGCCTGTTTTGGCTTCTGCTTGCCTGTCCCCTCCTTGTGGTGATGCATTATGTCCAGGAGAAAGGACAGTGGCTCCTGCTGCTTCCTACTGACCCCCTCAGGGAGGAGGAGCTTGGCGTCCCTGGTGTCCCCAGGGTCCACTGAGTCCCTGTCTGCCCCCAGCCCGGGCTCTGTGTGGTCGATGTGCCTGGATGGGGAGTGTGATGAGGTTTCTGGTTCTTCAGTCTGCTCTAGGGAGCCATTGTGCATGTGCGCGGAATCAGGTACAGACTCTGCTGCTGCCGGCAAAGTCCCAGCAAGCATGTCCAACTTGGAACAGTCTTTACTCAGCCTCTCCTTCTTCTTCTTCTTCACAGCTCGGAGCTTCTGCAGCTCCTGCAGGCGCTGGAACTCCTCCGTGAGCCGCTCCTCCTCCTCCTGCTCCTGCCGCCTCTGCTCCTCGCGGACGTGCGCGTGCGCCCGGGCCCTGGCCTCCGCCTCGAGGCGCGCCTTCTCCTCCAGCTGCCAGGCAAGAGAAGCCAGTTTAAGACAACAGTAAATGTTCTAAAAATGAACACATATGAAAAAATAAAATTTTTTTTAAAAATCGTCACCCAAGGATATATTTTTGCCTTTATCTTCAGATAGAGCAGGAGGGAGAGAGAGGGAAAGAGAGAGAGAGGGAGAGAAACACCGATGTGAGAGAGACACATCGACTGGTTGCCACCCACACGACCCTAAAATGCAACTGAGGTACGTGCCCTTAGCGGGAACCGAACCCAGGACTCTCGAGTCTGCAGGTCGATGCGCTAACAGCTGAGCCAAACTGGCCAGGGCAGAAATAATAATTTAAAAAACTGAATCATATAATAAGAATATAAACCCTGAAAGAAGCTATAATAAGCCAAAGCTCTTATTAAAACACACCGACACCAAGTTATTTTACATATATACTTACTTCATTTGGGGGAGTTAAAAAATTCCTTCTAGTCACCAACCTAGTGCCAGGCACATCAAGCCAGGCCGAGGCGGCTGCCCCACCTGTGCCGCCCGGCCCCCAGCCCCATACACGGGGTGACAGCAACAGCGGGCGGATGGTGCACAGCGCAACCTTCCCAGGGGAAGGCTGAGGTGTTTCTGTGCATCGACAGGACATGCAAACAACGCGTACCTGAAAACACACACCCGCTCCCCACCGGCACATACACGTGCCCCGTCTGCTGTCACCAGTGTGACAAGAGCGAGGACCCTGCAACACTGCACACTGAGGCAGACAGAAAGCAAGGCTGCTTCTGCTGCACAACGTGGCCGGAAAGGAATTTTTATCCACGTGAAGGTTCCACTCCAGTAAGGACACCTTTCCCAGGAGCATGAATGAAACTGTTCCCACTGTTTAGAAAAAAGCAAGGAGGCCCTGGAGAGTGGGAGCCTCACGAACTCATCAGCCCAGGACTGTAAGACTCTGGTGAAAGAAATCTGCACAGGAGCTTGAAAGGACCTCCCAAGTTTAAATCACTTCCACAACATTTCAGGAGGCGTTCATTTTAAATGTAATTTAGCCCTGGCCAGTATGGCTCAGCAGTTTGGCCCGCGGACCGAAGAATCACAGGTTCGGTTCCTGGTCAAGGGCACGTACCCTGGTTGCAGGTACAGTCTCTGACCCAGATCAGGGTTGTGCAGGAGGCGGCCAGTCGATGTGTCTCTCTCACATTGGGGTTTCTGTTTCTCTCCCTCTTCCACCCTTTCTCCCTCCCACTCTATCTAAAAAAAATCAATGGAAAAATACCCTTGGGTGAGGATTTAAAAAATAAAAAAAGATACAATTTAGTTGTCTTTTTGAAAAAATTAAATATAAAATTATATTAAAAATTAGTAACAGCCCTGGCCAGTTTGGCTCAGCAGTCAGAGCACTGGCTTGTAGAGTGAAGGGTCTTGAGCTCAATTCTGGTCCAAGGCCATGCCTGGGTTGCAGGTTCAATCCCTAGCAACCAACTGATGTTTCTCTCTCTTGCGCTCTCTCTCCCTCTTCCCCTCCCTCCTTCCCTTCTAGTCTCTCTAAAAATTAATGGGAAAATATCCTCGGATGAGAATTAACAACAACAAAAAAAATCTAATGACAGGTTTTAAAAAATGAATTTCACAATCTCGGTAAAGTTACTGGAAGCCCTTGCTGCATCTGAAAACAGAAGCTGCCAGGAGGCGGCAGCAGCAGGCAGCTTGCGGAGCCCCAGGGCTGCAGCTCTGCAGGGGCTGCGGTATCGAGCTGGCAGGGTCTGTGGGGTGAACTTGCCACAGGGCAGAATCTATGGTGAACTCACAGCCCGCACGTGCTGCCTTCATTCCAGCTAGGAGTGAAACGCAGAGCCCACTCCGTATGATGGGGTGCTCGACAGAGAGCACACAGTGTGACTGGGTACGGAGGATGATGACAGTGAGCCTGAGGGGCTGTGGCATCAAGTCTGAATCTAGACCAGCTCGCAAGGACAGAGGCCAGGAGGCCAGGGTGGGAAGAGCCCCTCAGAAGCACTTGGACCAATCGAGAGGCTTCTAAGGGCTGCACAGGATGTCTCCAGAGCTCTGGGCCTCCCGGGGCCCCCAGATGCCGTGATACTCTGGATGGAGAACAACTACCTCGTTCTCCCCACTCCTGTGGGCTCTGCAGACCCAGGTCTCCTGCAAGGCAGAACAGGCTTTCCCCCAGTTCCTGGTCAGTCCTGATGGCCAGTCCAGACACGTGTCAGGACTGTACAAACAGAACAAGACAACTCTCCGAGGATCACAGATGCTAAGTGTGAGCCCCTACAGGCCCTGTGGGATGTCCTCTCCCATCATGCCTGACTGTGCAGGGACTGCACCTGCTCCCGAGGCGACCCTTCCTACGGTCAGAGCCCTTGCAAGCTTTCCAAGTTCCCTCCGTCAGCCCCGCTCTGCCTGCTGAGGTCTGGCTCTGGACCTGACGCCTTGAGGTGGCTGCACCCAGGAAGACATCGGGAACCGCTATGTCACAGGGCTCTGTGGGAACCCCTTTAAGAGAACTGGGAGGTGAGTCAAGAGTAGATGCTGTTCCCATCGCTCAGAGTTAATGTGAAAGAAAGAACAGTCTCTCAGTGACGAGCACACAGTCCCTGAGCACTCCACTCACTCATTGGACCACAGGTCAAGGTCAGTCACAGCCCACCACTGGGCAAACCTGCTTTTGTGACATCCCAGCCCTATGGTGAGGTGGGAAAACTACCCAGGGTTGCCCACAACGGCTGCCATCTCACTCTGCCACCTTCGGCATCCATGTCCCGTGCCGGCCCTCTTCCCCCTGGATGGTATGCCTGAGTGAGACGGAGTCGGGCCACCACTGTGCCAAGGGCCCTGTCCCAGCCTCCGATCAAAGTCACTTGTTCAGCCACCATCTCCAGAAGCCCACTGCCACCTCCCACTTCCTCACCCTCCCTGGGCACAGAGGCCAGCGCCAGGGCCTGAAGGCTTGCTCAGGGCCACGAACAAAGCTAAGACACAAATGGGGATGATGCGCCATGGAAACACCATGTGGGGCCTCTAACCTGCTCCCAGCTTGGGCCACCAGAGACAGGCAGGGGCTGTCAAAGCAACGCTGTGGGCAAGTGCAGTGGCTCCGCACCCTCCAGGTCCTCATGGCCCCAAGCGGCGCAGGCACAGGTTACCTTTCTCTGCTTGTGTCTCGCCCTCTTGGCGGCACGCGTGCTGCTCACAGGCTTGGTTTCGGAGCTGTTGATGAACTGCAGCAGGTCCTCCACCCTGCGGTGGTCCACCGCGCCCTCCCGGCCCGACAGCTGGTCCGCTTTCTTTGGCTGCTCTTCCTTCCGCTTGGTCAGCCGTAAACGGAGCTTTTCCCTCATTTCTGCATAATTTCTACTTGTTGGTGCGGCTGGAGGCTAAGACAATTAAACAAAAACATGACTAAATTAAGCTTCAAGTTTCAATGACTTTGAATGTAAATTTCAGACTATTTCTAAAAATAAAATGTTTCTTATCACCCAAGTAATACATCCTCTCAGTAAAAAGATAAGGGACAAGAGAAGCGAGCGCAGGGAAAGGGAACGTCTGCGCTCGTAGAAGAGATGTGAAGTCCAGACAACTGTGCACAGAGTGAATGACCACATGCGACTGGTCAACTTTTCATGTCGCCCAGTGTGGTCCTCTCCTGACAGTGAACGTGTCTGCCCGTGGACCTTTTGTCCATGTGTAGGTTTCTCCTCAGCGCTGAACAGAAAGGAACCGCCCTCAGTCCCACGGCCACAATGCCCGAGCAGCCACGAAACGTGTGCAGTGGAGACACAGACAGAGCTGAGCTAACAGCACCCCAGTTCCCCCCTCGGCCACCCTGGTGCAGGGCTGGCATGTCTTCGCAAGATGGATGGTGCTCTGGGAGATGTACAAGCACATCTGTGTGTCCACTTCCTTCATATTCAAACGAGGGGACCCACTGCACACGCACCACGTGACGTCCCTTGTGCTGCTGCTGTGGATTGGACTCCCTAGCTGCCCACAGCCAGGCACTCAGTCGGCCCCCGTCCCATCAACTATTTTAAAACTCACAAACATAAAAAAATGCCGTGATAAAACCCTCACAGCTAAATCTTTGGGCACATTTTTCATTGCACACGTAGGATAAGGACAACCTAGAAGTGGAATTGCTGTTTGAGACCGACCTTGATTTGAGCTGTGCTGAAAATAAAGTTCACACACGATGCACCACACCCTGATTTCCATCTGGCATCACAGCCACATACTCTGCAGCCGTCACTGGACACACACACACTAACACGCTCCCGTCGCTGAGGGCTGCTGTCGCCCAGGCAGGCTGCCGTGGCACTTACCCCGCCGTGCCCGAAGAACTCACAGTAGCAGCAGTCACAGTACTTGCCCTCCTTCTGGTTGGTGGAGGTGGAGGTGCTGGAGCTGTGCTCGGAGCAGCTGTCTTCATCTGCACTCTCGTCCCCATCGTCCTGCTGCGGGTCATAGACGCCATTCTCGCAGCGGTGCCCTTCGCAGTCGGGGTCACTGCGAAACCGCACACAGGCCTGTCAGCAAGCAGCCCGCCCCTTGGGGCCTCGCCCCAGGACCAGAGGAGAGCAGGTGCAGAGGGCGCGTGGCCACAGACTCAGGAAGGCAGGGTAGTGACGGGCGAGGTGGTGCCTGTGGCAGGCGGTCACACCTAGAGGGCCTCGTTCAGCACCCAGTCTCTTCACTGTCCCCACCACCCCCATTTCATTCTGGGGAGAGGGGTGGCTTTAAACAGGAACTGCAAGTTCAAAGGAACAAATATTGCTTTTTTAAAAATAACTGTCCAGCCCTGGCTGGGTGGCTCCATTGGTTGAAGGGTCCCATGCACCAAAAGATGACGGGTTTGAATCCTGCTCAGGGTGTGTACAAAAGGCAATTGATAGATGTTTCTCACATCAATGTTTCTCTTTCTCTCTCTCTCTCCCTTCCTCTCTCTAAAAAATCAATAAAAACATATTAAAAAATACAAAACTGGCCCTGGCCGGTTTGGCTCAGTGGTTAGAGTATTGGTCCGTGGATCAAGGAGTCACAGGCTCAATTCCAGTCAAGGGCACGTATATCGGTTGCAGTTTGTCCCTGGACCTGGTTGGAGTCGTGTGGGAGGCAACCAGTTGGTGTGTCTCTCTCACATCAATGTTTCTCTCTCTCTCCCTTCTCCCTACTCTATCTGAAGATAAATTAACATATTCTCAGGTGAGGATTAAAAAAAACCCAAGCCCAGCTGGTGTGGTTCAGAGGTTGAATGTCAACCTATGAACCAAGAGGTCGCCGGTTCGACTTCCAGTGAGGGCACATGCCCAGATTGTGGGCCTGACCCCCCCAGTGGGGGGCATGCAGGAGGCGGCCAGTCGATGTTTTCTCTCATGCATGTTTCTATCTCTCTCTCTGAAAATGAATAAAGAAAAACAAAACAAAAAACCAAACAAGAAGACTGAAACTGTCCAGTGTGTATTGTACTGTACTTCACTGGATGTGTGACAAACACAACTTACAAGATACCCAGAACCAACCCCCCATGCGTGTGACCCTGGCCCTGCAGAGCTACAGGCTGAGCCCAGAGCCACCCCGACCCACAGGCCTGCTGGGTGCCCTTCCCACTGCATCTCACTGGCTGGCTCGGCAGCACAGCACCAGGAAACAGAGTTCCTGCAGCAGTGAGGTGAGGGTGCATGGCACCCAGTTTCCAAAGCACCCTGGCCTTCACCTCTGGGACCTGGGCTCACCTGCAGACACTCGGAGGCGCACTGATGGAGCCATCTGTGGTGGGGGGTTGGGGGGTTACTGAAGCAGGACAGAAGCTCTTGCGAGTATCCACAAACCCAGGAGAAGTGGCTGCAGTTTTGGGGAAGGCGGGGGCTGCGAGATTTGCTAGGTGAGGCGTGGAGGCTGGTGAGAGGGCGGCAGGGGCGAGAGTGGGGAGCGGCGCCAGGCCCGTGGGGCTACTCCTCGGGGCGGCTGGCACCGAGTGCCTGTGCTCCTCCTTGCTGATGCCGTGGAAGACCTCACCTGCACACAGACGGAGAGTTGTGCAAACAGCGCAAGTCACACACACATGCATGATCCTCTTCATTCAGGCTTTTCACCAAATCTTCTGTCTAAATATGTTCAATCTATAGGAAACTTGAAGGAATAGTAAGAAGAACGCCCAATATCTTTCACCTGGATTCCTCACTAGTCAACATTCTGTCCTATCACCTTTACTTCTTACACACACACACTCGCCCCTAAATGCTTTGGAATGAGCCCCCAAGGGTACCCACACGTCGCTGTGGCCACAGCACCACATGGCACCAGACACCCCAAATGACAGGATGTTCTAGTTCACGGACAGCTCCACTCAACATCCCGTTTCCCCACGGGTCCTTCATAGCTCTTGCTTCAGCCCAGCCTCCAACCTCTTCCTCCTGTCGTGACACTGACCCCCCTTTGAGTAAGGCCAGCTACCACGGGCCCGCAGCTGCGGCTCTGTCAGACAGAGCGGGCTGCTCTGGCCCAGACCCTGCAAGGCCACGCTGCAGTCTGCCTGCCTGCCCAGGACACCGAGCGCCCGCCTCTTCCATGGTGAAGCTGCATCTGGATGGGGTGGTGGCCTGCAGTCACCTGTGGGCGCTGCTCCCCAGCAGTGGGGATGCTGTGCTCCCTACATGGACACCCCAGGCTCTCGGCACCTTCTGAGGGTGTGTGCTGGGTGGCTGCCACCCTGCTGGCTCGGCACAGCTTCCTGCCCGCACTGCGAGTGCTCACGCAGTGACAGCTTCTTCTCACCTCCTGTCAGGAGGAACACCCCCTCCGCCCCTTCGAGCCCCAGCATTCCTGACTGCAGCTGTGTGCCATCAGCCACCCCTCACTCTGTGCTGCTAACTGTCCAGCTCCAGCAAGAGCCCGAGCCGGCACCTGCATCCACTGACACCTGCAGTCTGACGGCTTCCCTGCTGCCAGGCTCTCCTCACTGCGCTGAGAGCGACAGCCACATGACCTGCACATCAGCACTGCCCCACTGGCTCGCTGTCTGCAAGGTTCTGCTTTTAGATCACGGACAAGTCCTCGTGGTGCTCAGAACAGTAGGTGTGGATGAAAGGCAGGACCCGTGTGGCTGAGCCCCAGGGGATGTTAGTGTGACACTGGGACTGTTGGTTGTGAACAGTTAATTGCTCTGACACCTCTGGCCAGGCCAGCAGAGGCCGATCACAGGGATGCAGCGCATGCCGAGCCTGCCCAAGGGTCCTGCCGGCAGCGGGCCTTACCAATGGAAGGAGGCCTCTTGGACGACACTTTAAACTGGCTGTTGCTTGACTGCACCGTGGTGGCCGTGCAGGAGACGGAGGAGGTGGCGGAGGAGGTAGCCATCACTACTTTGTTTGCTTCCATAAAAGCATCTTGGAAGTTGTACAAACATTTCTTTTTTGCAGCATTTTTTTTCTCTTTACAATCCAAAACTGCAGGTGTTCCGTTGCTCGACGGAGGTGGGAGGGTGTCGGGTCTTGTTTCTGAGAACGTTGGCCCTAATATATCACTCCCTTCAGAGAAGAATGGGAAAATTAAGGCTTCTAAAAGAAATAGTATTTCTAAAGGTACCTGCAGATTAAACTCTTAATACTGGGGCTGCTCTGCAATGAGGATTCTACTGGGTGATGCTAGTCATCTAGTGTTTGCATGAAAAGAAAATTTACTGAGCACCTACTATGTGCCAATGTCTGTGCTAGGTGCTTTCCAAAAGTTATTTTACTTAATGTCATAAAACTGATTTCTGAGCTTGGTAGTAGCATTCCCATCCTAAAGATGAAGAAACTGAGGCTCAGAGAGGCTAAGCAACTTGCCCAAGGTCACACAGCTAGAAACCCTTTCCAGGCACAGACCAGATAGATGCCCAGTCTACCTTGCTGTTCTGTGCACATGCAGGGGCTGGGTGGGGGCCACCAGGGCTCTAACCACAGGAGGACAGAGATGAGGCATAGGCACCAGCCCCTCCTCAGGTGCCTGACTGCTGCAATAACAGTTGTGCCTCAGAGGCTGGGAGGTGGAGCTTGTCTGTGGGACAATTCCCATGAAGGGCCAGTACAGAAAGAGGAAAGGAAGGTACATGACAACATTCAAGTCAACTGTGGCACGACTGCATCACCCTGGGCCCTGGGTCGAGGTCTGGTGTCACCACTGCTCGAGAACCAAACGCCGAACACCGAACCCGGGAGATAAGATACTCAGTAGCACTGGGAAGCAGAGAGCCTGGGGTTAGCAGGGCCTGTGTGGCTCACGGTGCTGGCAGCACCCCCAGGGCCCAGGCCGAAGGACGTGACCTGACAGACGTGGAGGGATGGAGCAGCACAGCGGGCCCACGGGGCCGCTCGCTGGAGACGAGGGCAGGGGCGCAGCAGCCTGGGCACGGCTGCACGAGGGCCTGAGCCCCCTGGGGCTTCCGTGGGAGACCATAGCCACAGACGGCCATCCACTCAGCTCTGGTCATTTTAAAGTTTGAATAAAGTTTTAATAAGTTCCTTACCAGAAACTGTATCTGGCAAGAAAGTGCCAGGACTCCAGTTCTTATCATTCATCACTTCCGATCCCCACAGACTTATGAACTTAGAACTATTCCACTCGGGAGTGGTCCCGAAGCAGCTCGGGTAAATGTGGTCTTGAAGAGATGCATTGAATACCTGATGCTTATTTGTGTGATTCTGAACAGGTGCTGGCGGTAAAGCCTACAAAAAAAAAGTTCTAATCACATATAAAATTAATACTCTGCTTACCTAAGTAGTTAAGCTACAGACATGCCATTACTGGAAACTTTGGGGGACATACTTGCCGTGACAGGTGCCCTGGCTGAACACGGCTCACAGAGCTGGTGGTGAGGCTGCATATGACAGGTCAGACAGGTGGAGATTTTGAAAGCAACTGATGCCTCAAGGAATATATTAAACAAACCTTAGCTCCATAACTTCTAACATTCCTCTCGAGTCACAGTGTAAACGTGGTAATTTGAATTCGATCTGTTCATCTGGCTTATTCTCAGCTGACATTTTGATGATCACTGCTAAAAAGTCAACTTTGGAATCACAGATAAAAAAGGCACAGCTCTTAAACTGTGCCCTCCCACTGGGCAGAGGCAGTGGGCTCTGAAGAGCTGTGTGTTTTGTGTTGCTCGGAAGCCCCCAGGGCCCTTTGGGCAGGCCCTGGTCTAAGGGGGGAGCTGGGCGTCGCTCAGCCCGGCCGCCAACACGTTACGGCTGTGGCCGACCCACCCAGTCCTATTCCTCAGGAGCCAGAGGGAGCTTCTCGGATGTCAACAAGAGCAGGTGCGTCCCCTGCTCCACATGGCCAGTGGTGGCCCAGTGCTCTCAAGAGAACGCCCTGAACTCAGCTCGCAATCTCACTGACCGAGATTCACCTTCAGGCCTCGGTGTCCTTCCTCAGGGAAGCCACCACTGACTCTGCCTCACCACCCAATACCAAAACCAGGACACAGGCCTCCAGCAAACACAATACAGCCACACTGCTCCCTCTCAGCACTTATCACACTTATGACTCAAGACTCACTGGTCAATGTCTGCCTTGCCTCAGGTTCTGGAAGCGTCAGGAGGGCACCTGGATCCTCGCTGATGCCAGGCCCACCGCTTCCCCAGCACCGGCAGGCCCAGGCCCAGGCACTGCCCCGCCACCCAGGGGAGCTGCAGGGCTGGCGCTGGGAACCACGCCCGGCAGTCCCCCCTCCGGGACACACAGATGAGCAGTGAGCTGCACACCTGAAGGGGGCGTTCGGGAGGATTCCCAAGAGCAAGTGATGGTTGGGCAGAGCCCTGGGGGACCGGCTGGGGTGAAGGGAGGGGAGAAGGGAATGGGGATAAGGCACAGGGGCCAAACGAAATGACTTGGAATGATTTCTGTCCTAAGGGGGCTCGGGAGCCACAGAGGGTGGTAAGCAGCAGGGCAGATGGTCTGGGCAGTGTGGTGCGTGAGCACAGGGGAGAGGACGGCATGAAGATGTGGACAACAGCAACTGTGCTGGGAGGAGCAGGACTGTGCCTCTGCCCCACGCCCTGCCAGTGACAGCTGGGTGTGAACTCTGGTCCCTTCTCAGCTTCGGGCTGCAGGCTGCAGTCTGACGGGTTCAGATGCCAGCTCTCCCTTTTATTAGCTGTGTGACCTCAGGCAAATTCCTCAATCTTTCTGTGCTTTAGTTTTCTCATCTGTAATCTGGAAATACCTACCTCCAGGGGCTGTGGTAGGAACTGAATCTGACAATGTATGGCAAGTGATGAGCACATGCCTGGCCCACAGTAACCATTCGAGTGCTTCAGTGGACTATTCTCTCTCTGTAAGACTGGTTCCTACACACAGACCCCACCCCCTGCTCAGGCTCTGCCGCCCTCACAGTGCAGAGGAAGAGGACAGTCACTCCACTCGGACGGTTTAGTGCACCTGCGGATCCTGACTGGGCTCAGGGAGGCCAAGACGCAGGGTGAGGCTGGAACGATCATTCGGGATTTGAAAATGGGAAGAAACAGGTCTGGACTGGCTTTGACCCAGGGTCAGAGTGGGAGCCTGAGCTGAGAGTTCTGCAGGGGACCCAGGGCATGGAGGAGAACAAGACCATATGTCTGCAGACGAGAGACATACCAAGAGCTGCTTGCTGAGAGGGACCTGGTGGAAAGTGATTACCTGGACGGGTTCTTAGTCTCGAAGACACTCTGCTAAGGGGCAGACAGGCCCGACAGCGGGAGCAGCAGCTTCCTCGCACTGTGTACATGCTGAGAGGCAGCGTGGCGCCTCCCGGCCCAGCTGGTGAGCTCTGCACAGCAGAAGCTCCTTCAGAGCCCTGCAGCATCTCGAGTCCTTCCTGAACACCCTCAAGACTTGGCCTGACAGCTTGTTTCACCCCCAGAAAGCCTGGCTGACAGCCTGGACCCACTGCCCACCCAGGTGGGTCCAGAGAGCTCTTGATTATCCTTTAAAACCCTATCCCAGCATCAACCCCTTTGCAAAACCACCTCGGACTCAGTTAGTGTTCCCTCATCACTGTTACTTTTCTACTGTGCGTCTACAGTTTCTATTAAGGTACATCACAGTCTTTTGATTTTTAAACATGAGTATGTTTTTGTCTTCTCTTTCGACTATGAGATTCTGAAACCAGGACATCCAGAGACAGGAAAACCTGGCCTCTTCTCCCCGTGAGAGCACAGGCACTGGCAGTGCCGGGCATTTGACAGATGCTGAGCAGAGTTCAGCCTGGAGGAATAAGGGGACACAGACCTGAGGCTATGATGTTGGAAACGTAAGCTAATGAATCTGCATTCGATTCACACACCTTGTCAGAAGCAAATCAACTCAGAACAGGAGATCCAATTGTCGACTCCGAAGGCAGCAAGGACCGTAGCAAATAAGCTGTGTCTGCATACAATGCTTTGCACAAGACACCTAGTAATCTCAACAGCTATGGGCTTCCTTCAGAGAAAACAGGCACCGGTCAAGCAGACTGTTTCTGGGCCATGCCACAGTAAGTACACCAGTGATTCAAGCTAGAAACAAGTTCCTCTCGTGTGAATGCCACTGACTTAGTAGGACACGGATTCCACTCTGCGGGATCCACACTGCTTCAGTGAACACAAGAACTGAACTGCTCTCCACTGTGAGACAGTGGCTCACAGGAAAGCAAGCCTTCGGTGTTAAGGGAGAGCTCCGATGCACGCACGCGCACGACCAGACGCCTCACTAGGCCCGCTCTCAGGGTTCACGCAAATGACCACGCAGCGCCAGAGCCACAGGCGCAGATGCAGAAGACAGGGAGCCACTGACGCACACGTGGGAGGGACCGCCCACACTGAGCATTCAAACAGAGGGGTCACACAGGCAAGATGACGGCTAGTCCGTGTCTCTTCTTTCTAAGGCTCTTCAACACCCCTGCCAGAGGCGGTAAGGAGGCAAGAGCACCAGCTCTGCTTGTCTCGCCATTTCTCAGGCCAGGACTGAACACGGCCTCTGAAACAGAATACAGACCACAGGTCACAACAGGGTCCCAAAGTGCAGCCATCCATCTCCCTATTTTCCACAGAGCTTTCTTCTCCCGCAAATTCCAACCCAAACTTACACGTGTGCCATGTTCAACTTTACCAAACACTTCTGCATTGGGTGTACAAGTGACCCAGCGAGGGGGTGACAGACAAGCATGCCCAGAGCCACGTCAGTAGCTCCCCTTGATGCAGTGAACTCAGAGGGCGGCCTGGAGACCACTTTCAAATAGTCCTCAAGCTCCTAGGGCAGAATTCAAGACCCTACTCTCCCTTCATCACTGGACGCTTTGCTAGTGAGGCGATTATTTCATATGTTTTCCGGATAGAAAGGATACAGAATTTATTTATTTAAATATGTTTTTATCTTTAGAGAGAGACAGAAACATCAAGGGGAGAAACATCAACAGGCTGCCTCCTGCACGCCACCTATTGGGGATCTAGCCTGCAACCTGGGCATGTGCCCTGACTGGGAATTGAATGGGGACCTCTCAGTCCATGGGATGATGCTCAATCCACTGAGCCACACTGGCCGGGCAGGATCTGAAGCTGGAAACCTAGGTGACAGTCCAAAGTCTGGCCCTGTAGTTGTGACCGACTGCTCCTGGGCCACATGGGATGGTGGGTGGAACTGCCCACCAGGTCACATTTGCCGTTGTCTGTGAGGTCACACGTCCCTCTCTGTCGCGGCTCTGTCCACAAAGGGGGATAAATGGCACCAACACCTTTGTAACAAAGTGCTGAGCCACAGATAAAGCAAGGAAAACCTTTCACAAAGAAGGGATAACAGGACAAGAAAAAACAGGGCCAGGTGGAGGTGGGAGGAAAAATGGCTGCCCCAAGACACATGCACCAGGTCACAGTCACGGGGACAGACCAGCGGTCCCACAGGAGGCAGGAGAGTTGGAGACTGTCAAAGGAGCTGGAGGGCCCCAGGTGGGCCAGAGCCCCTTAGGTACCTCATGTCAGCAAATGGAAAACCTCCTTCCCCTATTTAGGGCCTTGGGATTTCTCATAGAGTAATATGAACAAAACATGACTTCATAATAAAAAGTTATTACAGTCGGCACTCGTTTATCACAGTTAATTAGTCCCAGACTCTTCCGCGAAGTAGGATCTTTACCATATACAGTCGTCCCTCGCCACGTCACGCGTTGCCGTTCACGGGTTCACTCTATCGCGGTTACAGTGAAGCCGTGAGAGCAAAGCGCATGGTGGCGAGGGACGACTGTGTACAAACAAACCAGCAGCAGAAACAGCAAACAGACTTAGATCCTCCAGGTTTCAATCAAACAGAGAATACATGTAAAATGCTTTAAAGAAAGAAGAGAGAGAAAGTGATCAAGGAACAAAAGAATAGAAAAAGTCACTGATATATTTGAAAAATAAATAAACTAAAGATTAGATACAAGAATAGAAGTTGGAATTAAAAACTCAAAACTTAAGTGGTAGGTTAGACACAGTACGATTAGAATCACTTAACTGGGAGACTGATCCAAAACGATTCTCAGAATGGACTGAGAGATAGGAGATGAGAAACAGGAGAGAGAGCATCGAATGAAGAATGGACTGGAAGGCTGGGCATAGATTCACCGGGGCCCAGACACATGACAGAACATAGAGAGGAAAGACAAAGACAAAGACAAAGTGGCTGAAAACCATCAGACAGGAAATTAAAAATTATTATGCTAAGGGTTATAATGGGGAAAGTAGACAATATGCAAGAACAAATGAGTAATGTGAAAAGAGAGATGGAAACGCTAAGAAATAAAAAAAAGAAGTGCTAGAAATAAAAAGCACTAAGAAAAACAAATTCTGCTTTTGATGAGCTAATTGGTAGACTGGACATAGCCAGGGAAAGAACCAGTGAGCTTCAAGATATGTCAACAGAAAATTCTCAAACAAAAATGCAAGGAGAAACACGAATAAAAACGTACCACCACCACCAAACAAAAAAACAGAACAAAACATCCAAGAGCTGTGGGGACAATTTCAAAAGATGCAATGTACAGTAACTGAAACACCAGGAGGAAAAAAAAGAGAACAGATGGAAGAAATATTTAAAGCCATAATGAATGCTGAGACCTTTCCAAAATTAATGACAGACATCAAACCACAGATTAAGAAAGCTCAGGGAACAACAAATAGAAGAATTCCCCAAAATGTATTCCTTGGCACATCATATTCAAACTGCAGAAAACCAAAGACAAAAAGAAAATCTTGACAGCAGTCTGGGGGTGGAGGAAGGAAGGAGTCCCTGCACTTATAAAACAAGGGACAGAATTACAGAGGACATCTCATCAGACACCATCAAGCAAGAAGAGTGAAGTCAAAGTGTGGAAAGAAAAAAACCCCACCAACCTAGAATTCTGTATCCAGCGAAATTATCCTTCAAAAGTGAAGGAGAAATAAGGACTTCCTCAGAGAAACAAAAACTGAGTGAACTCATCACCAGCAGACCTGCCCTGCAAGAAATGTTAAAAGATTTTCTTCAGACAGAAATAAAATAATATAGGTCAGAAACTAGGATCTACATAAAGAGAGGGAGAGTGATGGAGAAGGAATAAGTAAAAGTAAAATAAAGCCTCTTTTCTTATTATTAATATATCTAAAATATAATTTTGTTCAACGTAATGACAGAAGGTCAGCGAGGGTGCAGTTGAACCCAACGGCACCGTCAACCACTGCATATGACTGACACCTACAGACCACTTCAGCCGAAGCAGCAGACGACGTTCTTCCCAAGCTCAGGTGGAACAGTCACCAAGACTGACCACACTCTGGGCCGTGAAGCACATCTCAGCACATTGAAAATCACACACAAGTGTCTGCTCTCAGAACACAATGGAGTCAGTGTAGGAATCAACACAGAAAGGGGGCCGGGAAGTCCCCCAATATTTGGAAACACCCTGTCACAGCTATGATTTATTTTCTAGCATTTCATTACTGTATTTTCTCCTTCAACTACTTCTAACTTTCTAATGACTTCTCTCTCAACATATAAATTAAATGTATCTTTGGTATAGAGACATCTGAAAATAGAAATGCTCTAAGTTTTACTAATTTCAAGAAAATAAAGTTTTCATAATACTCATCTCGAACATTTTAGGTACTAAATATTTACCCACAATGCCAAAGTATGAATTACAACGACAATGCCATCAAGTCTCCAAGGCGACGACGGCCATGTCCCCAGAGCAGAAGTTCCCAAAGGCCCTGACGAAGCAGAAAGGGAAGCAGGTCGGAGGTGCTGCCTCCATGCACGACTGCCCTCCACACACAGCACCCACGGTCCGCCTCCCAGCGACACTCCGACATCGCACGGATCATGCTGGCCTCTCCCAGAGACCTGCTCGGATGGAACTAAAGACAAGTGTCTGCTGTTCTAGAGCCGCCCGACTGTTCTCCTGAAGGTGCTTCTAACAACTCTCGTGGGGCTGTGAGCACCTTACTTACAGACGCCTGCCCAGCATCCAACTACGACAAATGGACTCAGATGACACAGACTCATTCTGCAAGGCCAGCGAGGGCCACTGCAGCTCGTGCAGAGACGCCCTTCGCCACCAGGCACACAGGAGCGCTGTGCAGGTGCCCCCCTCCCACACAAGGGCCCAGCTGGTGCGAAGTCTTCACAGCAGCAGCACAGCCCGTCCTCTGCATCTGCCTTTCTAGCCTGCGAGCCTTTCACTTCCATCGGCTGGATTAAAGTCTACCAGGGATCAAAGAAATAGATTTTAGAGACAGATAAGGCTCCCGAAACGTTCTTTTCTCCTTTATCGTTCAGCAGATGGCCTTTAACATCCCAAGAAAGGCCGACAGTCTGGGGAGGCAGTGCTGAACTAGTATGTCCCCCATATTCTTTGGGACTAACCAATCTCGCGAACGAACTCAAAGATTTTCAGCAGCTAACTCGTGAACAGCTTCTACCAACAAGAGAATATAAGAGAACATTCTACACCTCTCCTCTCAGAGCATAGAAAACAGAACTCTATTCGGTTAAGAATGGGGTGAACAGCTCCCCAACTTCACACATGCACCCAGGGTGGGAGAGGCTGTAAGGCTGGGCAGGCCACGAAAACAGCCTGGCTTTGAACATAGCAAGGCCTCACTTAACATCATCAATAAGTTCTGTGACTTTAAGCAAAATGATGTATATAAAAAATTTTTTTTAGCACAATTGATATGAACAAGAGTTAGATTCTTACAGCATCTCATCAATGTTATAACAAAACAATGTTGAACTAAATGACATTATTTGAGGACCTGCTATCTGTACCTGAAAATGCTATTTAAACCATTCCATTAATAATAGCATCATTACCTGTTCAAATTGAGAAATATTCACTCTATTCAATCTAAGCATAAATTTGGGTAGAGTTCCCAAATACTCACGGTAACAGAACATGATAAAAGGATGTTGATTTGATTCTGAAGCAGCGGTTTAACCCGCCTGTGCCCTTGCACAGCACACTGACAGCAAACTCCAGTGTTGGGCTCAGCCACCCCCCACCCCAGTGCCACCCTGGGGAGAAACGAGCACAGTTTGAAAAGCCCCTCACACCATGTCCTCCTTTTCTATCCCTATTGAGAATCACTGTTTAAATAAATCAGGAGTGTTTGAGAAAAATTCTATTTTTGATTGATTAGAACTAACACTGAACCACAATAACTGACAAAAATAAAAATTATAACATGTGGCAGGAGTTAATAAAGGTAAATTCAAGAGTTGGAGAGCAAAGCCATCTGAGGCACAAAAAATGAAGCCAACCCAAAACCTCCCTGCAGAGTCTAAGCGGAGAAGAAACACACAGATGTGATGTTGCCTGGACCCAACTGCTGCCCTAAGCAGTCTCAGCACAGTGGGGTCCCAGAGCCCCATCCTTCCGCCCTCCAACTCCCTCTCGATGCCCACATGTACCAGGACTCTCCAGGGCATCGCACGCAGGGCTTCTCCTTCCCACTGTGTGTTTCTACAAGTCCTACAGCTTCGTGCTTAGAGCACAGTTGGTCAGACTGGGGCAGCCCAGCTAAGTTAAAGGGCTCTCGCTGCCCATCACGTTAAAAGCCAGGCCCTAGAAGCCATGCCTATCCCAAATATAACCTGTCACCTGAAAAACTTCCCATTCTGGTGAATTCTGAAGGAATAAACCATGACTTGCATAGTTTATTCTGTAACTGTCAAGGTCTGAAACTGCAAGAGCTCACGGTGGAAGGACACACTGCAGATTCCCTGCCCAGAGTGGGCGCTGTCCTACACGAGCTGCCAATCTACGGGGTTTGTCTGTCAGGCCCTTTCTGCCCCGACTTACCTTACTGTGTGTGAAGGGGGGCGCTGCATACAAGGTGGGGTGGATCAGAGGGCGAGGAAGGTGTGGGACGGTGTGCAAGGGCACGTGCCCGTGGATGTGGGGGTACAGATGCAAAGCAGGGTGTGTGGGCTTCTCTGGGCTCAGGAACTGGTGGCCAGGAGGAAAAGCTCCGGCCGTCATCGCTGACAGCGGCAGTCCAGAAGCTTCCTGCTTGCACACATGGCATTCGCAAGTGTTTGCGGCTTGTTCAGCCTGAAGGGAAAAGGGCTGCTTAGTTAGAGACCGAGACGGTAAGAACAGAGTCAAAATCAGTTGTGTTCTACTGAGCAGTTACACAGCAATCCACAGGGAGCAGTCTCATCCTGACACCCACTGGCCAGGGCCCAGTACTGAAGGAACCTTGAACAGAGGGGGTGCACATCCCATTACCCAGGGGTGCCTGCATCATGGGCTTGTCTGAGCAGAGGCGAGGGTGCTGGTGAAGAGAGAGAGAGCTGGACAGGGACTACAAAGCCACTGTTGGTGGTCTAGGCTCCGCTGGCTCCCATGGCTTAAGGAACGATCCCTCCACGTGCACCAGGGACAGACTTCCACTAAGGTGGAATAAAGTGTCAAACTGAACACAACTGTCAAAGGCTCTGGAAATCAGCCAAAAGAGAAAAACTGAGAAGTGCATATTCCTGCAGATCTTCAGGGACGTCCGGTGAGCACTGCAGGAGTCTGCCTCTTGCCTGGCTCTGTCCACACTTCCGAACAAACTAAAACAACTACAGAATCAACAGCAGAATTAAAATGGTTAATAAAAATCTGTTTAATACAAGAAAAGGAAGTAAAGGGGGAACAGAGGAACAAAAATCATGAGACACAGAAAGAAACAGCAAAAGGTAGTTATAAATATAACCAATTATTATGTTAAATGTAAATGAAGCATTCCAAGGAAAAGGGTAAAATTGATGGACAGGATAAAAATGCAAGACCCAACTAATGAGTTTAGCAAAGCTGAAGAATACAAAATCAATATATAAAAACCAACTGTACTTCTATATATTACCAATAGAAAATTGAAATTAGAAAATATCATTTACTGCTCTGGCCGGTTTGGCTCAGCAGTTAGAGCGTTGGCCCATGGACCAATGAGTCTCGGGTTTGATTCTGGTCAAGGGTGCGTACCTTGGCTGCGGTTCGTTCCTAGCCCTGGTCAGGTCGTGCAGGAGGCAGCCAGTCGATGTGTCTCCCTCATGTCGTTATTTCTCTCTCTCTCCCTCTCCCTTCCTTCCACTCTATCTGAAAATAAATAGAAAAATATCCTCGAGCCCTGGCCAGTTTGGCTCAGCGGTTAGAGCGTCGGCCTGTGGTCCAGAGAGACCTGGGTTCGGTTCCCGCTAAGGGAGTGTACCTCAGTTGCAGTTTGTCCCCGGCCCTGGTTGGTCATGTGGGTGGCAGCTACTTGATGTGTCCCCTTCACGTCGATGGTTCTCTCTCTCCCTCCCACTCTACCTGAACAAAAAAATGGAAAAATGTCTTCGGGTGAGGATAAAAATAAATAAATAAATAAATAAATATCCTTAGGTAAGGATAAAAAAAAAAGCCATTTACTATAGAATCAAAAGGCATCTGAACTTAAGAATAAACTTTAAAAATATGTTCAAGACCCACAGACTAGAAAATTTTAAAGCTCAGAGAGACGTTAAAGAGGGTTTATTTTTTATTTATTAATTTTTTTATCCTCACCCGAGGACACGTTCTCATTATTTGTTCAGATAGAGCAGGAGGGGGAGAGAGAGAGAGAGAGAGAGAAACATCGATGTGAAAGGAACACATCGAGTGGCTGCCACCCGCATGACCAACCACGGCTGGGGACAAACTGCAACCGAGGTACATGCCCTTAGCGGGAACCGAATCCGGGTCTCTCCGGACCGCAAGCCGACGCTCTAACCGCTGAGCCAAACCGGCCAGGGAAAAGAGGGTTTAAATAAGTGGGAAGATACAGCACGTTCATAGACTGACTGTCTCTCCATTTTGTTAAGAATGTATTTTCCTCAAATTCATCTATCTCATCTCATAAATAAAAGACTGGGCCCAGAGGATTTTGATGATGAAGTCTATCAAAGAACTCAAGAATATTCATGAATTCAATGCAATCTCTATAAAGACCCAAGCAGGTTTTCTGTAGAAGTTGTCAAGTTGATCCAAAAACTTAAATGAAAATGCAAAGCACTCTGATCAGTCTACACAACTCTAAAACAGGACTGCCAAGCTGGAGGACAGATCCCACTCGATTTCCAAACTTACTGCAGAGATAGTCAAGCACACTATGGCATAAGGACATCGTGAGCACAACACGAAGTACGAGCGTTCAGAACCTTCATGTGCAGTCCGGTGACTCCCACAGAGGGTGCCCAGGCAGTGGAGACCCACATGTGCGAAAAGAGGAGTTTCCATAAGCAAACAATGAGTCAAATGAACCACAGACCTAACTACGTAAGAGCTAAAATTACAAATCTCCTAGGAGAACAGTTTTGTAGTAGGCAGTTTTCTTGGATGTGACATCAGAAGCATGTTTCATAAAAGAAAATCCTGATAAACTGGAATGCATCATAATGAAAAACTTTACTTTTCAAAAAACACCATAGAAAACCTAACAGACATGCCACAGACAGAGAGAAACTATTTGCAAATCACATACTTGATAAAGGACTTGTCTAATATAAAACAACTCAATAAGATAAAAAATGAATAAATGTATGAAAGGTTGCTCAACTCTGTCCATAAAAAGGAAATGAAAACTGAAACTTAAAGGGGTTATTAATCTATCACACTAGCAAAAATGCAAACTGTGACATCACCCTCTTCTCGGGGCCAGGGAGGCCACCCCCCCGAACCAGGAAAGCCACGGCTGGTGACCAGTCCCAGGAACATACCTGCCTGTGTATAAACTGTGAGAGGCACAAGGTTGCTCATGAACAGTTATGACAGGAAACCAGGGGAGCAAATGCAGTGCCCATCAGCAGGGGACTAAAGAAAAACAGGACAGGGCAGGCCACGCCCAGCAGCCCAGAGTGAGGTGCGCTGCCCAGCCAGAGCAAGGGCAGAGCAGCGTGCGTTCGGAGGGGCCTCTTCACAAGAGCAGGGAAGCACACACACTTGTGCTGCATCGACACAGCACGTGAGTGAAGAGCACAGCACGCGAGTGGAGCTGGAGACCGCTGGGACCAGGGACTGGGGTGGCAGGTGCCTGACAGCAGATGGGAAGCAGTGCGAGCAAGACTCCTCATTGCCGCCTTCACTGTCCGAAACGGAGTTACACTAACTACTAAGTAAACGAATTAGCTGAGCACCTTAACCTTCATTTGTTCTTCCTTTCATCTGAAAATTGCCTGAACATCTATTATAAAACTCTGGGTGCCTAAGAGAAAACAGTAGCCTGATAAAATACCCTCACCTTTGGGTAACAGAAAAACAGGTATCTGCCAGGGGGAGAAACTCTTGTCAAACCAACCTTTGCTGATTTTACCATTCCACTATTTTATTTTATTAAAAAGCAAACAAACTGTCCCCTCGCTTCTATACAAACAAAACCTCCATGCCATCTAACTGTGTGAAATATCTGGGTTGTTGCAAAACCAAGATTTCTGATCACAGATTCAAGTAAGAAAAAAAAGTAAAATGGGCATTCTGAGTCATGGGTATTTATTTTCTAAGTCCGTCTTGATTCTCTCCAGCATTAATCTTCAAAAGTTATTCAGAATGACCTAATTTTATATTTAATAAAGCTCAGATGTGGAGAAAATAGACACAAAGAAAGAGACCTTTGGCAAAACGGAAAGTGTGAAGAAATGAAATCACACCTGCTGAGCGGGGTAAGATGGGGGGGGACTGTCCACTTTACTGTCCTCCTTCCTGGGACTCCCATTTCCTAGGGCCACGGCTTCCTTTGGTGCTCCAGGGGGCTCCCCACCACTCCTGCTGTCCGCCTCTTCATCATCAGCTTCTGAAGAACTGCCGCTGGTACTACTCACTTGAGGGGACTTTAAAAACAACCAGAACAACATAAACTCAACACATGACCGCCATCCTGTGCCACGTACGGTCATGACGAAGCCGCTGTGGACGCACCTCATCCTTCAGCGCCATGTTCTCCCCGCCACCATTCACTTCACTGTGGATCCCATTCATGTTGGCCACCACTTCAGCATCACTGTAGCTGTTCAACGGATAGATGTCAGCAAACTTAGCTGACAGCGGAGCCACATCTTCATCGTCACTGCAGCTGAGACAAGCAGAGATGGTCACCGGGAGCCTGTTCACGGGGCACAGACATCACCCCTCCAGACACTCTTCTCTTTCCAGAGGTGCCACCCTGAGCACCATTCATAATCCTAACGTCGCTTAACAACTCAAGCACAAGATCAAAGTGCCCAGAAGGTTCCATCTGGAGGATTGGAGAACAAGACTCTAGAGGAGAAACGGAAGGAGCCATAGGCTCCATGGGACTGACAGCCGTCTGCTGCTGCTGACGCACGGCTCACACTCAGGGAAGATCAACGGGGTGCAAGGGGCCAGCTGAGGGCTGCAGGGTGTTTTTGTAACCATGAAAATTTCAGACATAGTCAGCCAAACAAAATTTTAAAGGCGTTTATGTGACAAAATACTAAAAGTCATTTTACTAACCAGACCAGCTCTGGTCAAGTCAATTATGATCTTAATTAAATATCTGCTTCAGCAAGCCTTCTAAGCAATGGGCAAATAGAAAATTTACTACAAAAAATGTAAGCAGACACCAGGGCCATGGCTTACGGAGGACGCTTCTACACCATGTGACTCTCTGTGTGTGGAAGAGCTGGCGCAATGGCCTGCAGTGCCCAGGCCCGAGGCAGGACCCCGACTGGACTCACCGTGCTCCGGGTCTGCCTGCAGCCTCCGCACACAACCTCCAGAGGGAGGTGCTATTGTGGCTTTAGGAGGGCGTGTCCAGAACTGCCAAACGCAGGCATCTTTTCCATTTTGAGGAAAACAAGCCTCAACATACGCCAAAGCTCTACAACCTGGAGCGCACCAAGGAGGCACAAATGGCACCCACCAGGTGACGGCTCCTCGGGGCTCCTGGCACCGGAGATGATGAAGCATGTCGCCTCAGTCACCACTCACACCCACTCCGGAAGTGTCAGCATCACCTCAGTTCACAGGTCAGGAACCTGAGGTTCAGAGAGGTACCTCTAGGTGATGTGGGACATGGACAGCTGAACCTTTGGAGGGCTTGCTCCCGTGATCAGGGATCTCCGAGTCCTTAGCCACATATGAAGTAGGCGGGCTCCGCCCTGACAAGGAACAGGACTCGGGCGGCACATAGTACAGGAGACGTGAGGCCTCCTGCACACCAGCATGTTTGTTCTCAACTGGCGTTTATTTGTTTTCCATCTCTTTTCAAGATGAAACAGTGTCAAACTTTGGGGTTAATGATTTCATGTTTCAAAGGTTGCTTAAAAAAACAGAGGGTGATGCCCTGGCCGGTTTTGCTCAGTGGTTAGAGCGATGGCCTGAGGACCAGTGAGTCACGGGTTCGACTCCACTCAAAGGCACATACTTTCGGTTGCAGTTCAACCCCGTCCCTGGTCAGTCATGCAGGAGGCAACCAATAGATGTGTCTCTTTTACATCGATGTTTCTCTCCCCCTCCCTCTCATCTCCGGTGAGGATTTAAAACAAAAAACCGGAGGGTGTTTGTCCTGGGAAATACTGACACCGCCTCTACCTCCACCGCTGCAATGCTTAAACCTCTGAAACCTTCCACATCTCAAAGTCACAACTCACAAGGCTGGTGCAGAGCCGCTGTCCGCGAGGATGAGCCTGGGACGCTGCTGGATGGTGATCGGAGAGCTGGAGCCAGACCCAGAGCTCGCAGATGACACGCTGGGTGGGCGCATCTCAGAGACACAGTCTGCAGCAGTGCCCACCTGCAGCGGCAGCTGGTGGACATGGGCGTCGCCAGGGACAGGGGGGTCCACGATGCCACAGGTGAGGATGTGCGAGAGGCTGCAGTCGTCGCAAGCACACCTGGTTGGGACAAGGGACAGTGACTCGACTGCCAGGGCGGCCAGGCCAGCCCTCGCGGCCGCGCTGACTCACCTCCTCCGGCAGTGGCAGTTAGGGCAGTCGGGCACGCTCAGCCGCGACGACAGCACGTGCCTCACGGCGTCCGTGAAGTTGTTCTCGCCAGCGACTGCTTTCTTACTGGTTAACTAGAGGGAATTATAGAGCGACAGGTTAATTCTGCAGGACACGTCTCCTGTTATCACATGCTCCGTGTTCTTCGGTCACTGTGGTCTTATGGGTCATGTTCATGCAGAAACGGAGGGTCACAGCTCCCTGAAGTGGGCTTGGGCCAGAGAAGTGGAGTCACACACAGTCCAGCACCAGCAACCCCCAGCGGACTCCTCGCAGCAGGTGCCTGGCCTCCCCCAACGTGCCGTGTGCTGGGGCTTGTGAGGTGCCTGCAGTAGCACAGAGACAAACCTCTGCTCCCAGAGCTGAGGATCTGGAAGAGTAGACAGGCAAGAAACTGAAGGTAGGGAAGCCACGGGGTCAAAGGGAGGTGCTTGCAGACAGCTGGGGGCAAGAAGGCGCAGGGCCTGAGCCAGGTCCTGAGTAAGAAATTGAAGGTGGGGAAGCCACGGGGTCAAAGGGGGTTGCTTACAGACAGCTGGGGGAGCACGCAGGCACAGGGCCTGAGCCAGGTCCGGAAGGAGGTGGTGCTGGCAATGTTGCCAGAGGGAGTCTCAGGGGCCAGGAGATGGACACTGGGCTTAAGTGTGCAGCCTAGCGGACAGCAGGCCACGCACAAAGAGCACGGCACCAGTGTGGATGAGTTCACAGGCACTCACGCAGCACGGCGGGTGCCTGGACGGCTGGCGCACAGCTGGCAGAGGCAGGTGCAATGGATGCAGCCATGAGAAAGGCTGGCTGGAGAGGAGACCAGCAGCAGGAACAAAGACTGGCCCAGACCAGGGGTGGGTCTGGGAGCTACCTCGGAAATGGCACCTGAACTCCCAATCAACAGGCAAGCACCTTCAGGAAAGGGACTGGGGACCAGCCCTGGCGATGGAACAGGGGCGGCTGGAAGGGCCATTTGGCAGGATGGGGGCCACGCAGGCAGGCTTAGGGGTCAGTTGGGTGATCAAGCTGGAGACAGTGCCCTCTGCCTACCTGGGGTGCCCAGAGGAGACTAGAGGAGTGAGAGTATGGGCAAAGGCGTGGGGTGAGGCCAGGGAGACTAGCTGGGCAGCAGCGGGCCTGTGGATGGGAGTGGAGGGAAGCCAAGTTTCCATGAAGCCGACTATCCTGAGGCCACCCCAGGGAGGCCCCTGCAAGTGCTGCGGAGAGGTTGGCGGAGGGGCCAACCTGCTGGAGGAAGAAAGAAGCCCGGTGTATGGGGAGGTCGGTGCACCTGGTAGCCTCCCTGTGTCACTAGAAAGTGTAAGCTGGACATGGCCCACCTGGCCAGGAGGGACTGTCATGCTCACAGTTTGTCTTTTAGAGCCACTCGCTATGCAGGGAGCCATAGCCCCTCGACCCACGGCCTCACCTGCTCTTCAAGGAAACGTCTTTGTTTGAAAAGCTCCCAGTCTTCTGTCAGCGTGCGCTGCTTGGTTTTCGTCGTCATCTAACAAGGGAAGCAGCCGAACAAGAAGCTTAGTGCCAGCAGGACCTCTCCAGGCCTCCCTCCGGGGAGGTTTGAAATGACTCGTATGGCAGTGTCGCCATGGACAAGGGCAAGTGCAGCAGAAATGACGTCACCTGACACTGTCTCCATGTCAGCTACCTGCGGACTGACTCAAAACCACCGCAGACATTGAGTGCAAATTATCAAGAAAAACTAAGAAATCAGAGCGGATCTGTCAACACAGTAAATGAGCATCTGTCGTTCACTGAATGTCCATCGCGTGTCCTGTATGTGCTGGACATAGATGACGGCGGGCACCATGCGCGGGGGTGCAGAGCAAGACGACTCTCAGGCTGGCGAGCAGCTGGCACGTGGTGCCTGAGGACAGTGGCTGAGTGAGGTAAGGCCAACACAGAGGGCAAAGCCTGCACGACCCTCTCACTCGAGCCCCGGGAAGCCCAGTCAGAGACAGGAAGCTGAAGGGTGGCCAGGCGCTGGGGACCTGGGTGGGGGTGGGGGTTGTTTAACAGGGACAGTCTCAGTCTGTGAAGATGGAAACGTCCTGGAAATGACAGGGAGGTGTTCACAACAATGTGGATGCACTTGATGCCACTAGATGGTGCCCTTTTCTCTAAGCACATTGTATTCAGAAATGAGTAAGAAGATATATCATATGTAATGTATATTTTACCACAATTAAGAAAAACAAACCGATGGAAAGTTAAGAATGGGATCAAGGCACTTTCTTACTTAGGAGGGGAGGCTCTGTAATGATTACATCTTGATGTGTATATAAATGTAATCTTATGATTATTAAAAACTTAACAGCAACCACTAAAAGGATAGAAGTTAGATATGTATCTTCTTCCAAAATATATCCAATCCTACAGGCAAGAAAGTACTACCGATAAGCCCTCCAAAACAAGTAAAGAGTCGTTTTATAGAATAAAATCCATGCATTAGAAAAGAACTTTGAACAGTTTGAACTCTTAAGAGAAGAAACTGATGTTGAAATACATGACAATGAAAGTGCCACAAATTGGGTCTATGCCCACAATGTAGACGAAAAGGTATAGGTTTAAACGCATTTGAGAGCAAAACAGAACAGAAAGACTATGCGATCAATGTAAGAAGCCGAAATGACGTAAAATAAACCAACTAATAAGGTAAAGAACTTGGAGGTAAAAGCAGAAATTACTGGGAAAACAAAGAAGATGACAACCACCAGTAAACCCAGAAGCTGGTTCTGCAAACTCCTTCCAGGCTGAACCAGGAGACAAAGGGGGTAGCACAGAAACAGCAGGGATGGGAGGGCAGACCCCACAGAGAAGGTTCTTTTAATATGTACAATTTACATTTGTCACTAGAAGGAAGAGCTGCCAATTGTGCCTTTGGCTATTTTCTTAGGCCTGCACAATGTTTTAAAACGTTTGAGTTGCCCTGAAAAAGCCTAGCCATGCACACTTCTGGCACCTCCTGACGTCTCAGCAGCTCTGCAGGCACTTGCCGAGACGGCTGGACAGCAGGCACACTGTCCTCTGGTGAAGAAAGTGTTCTCTATGAAGTGAGCCGTGAGAGGCAGCCCAAGAGGACCACGCATTCTACTGCAGCCGCCACGTCACCCATTCCCACGTCTCCCTGGGAGGACAAGCTGAGGACCCTTCACTGAAATGCTGGGGATAACTTCTTAGGCAAATAGGAATTTGTAAAACTCACTCATGAAGTAGAGAACGCAAAACAGACCAATACACGTAATGTAAATGGAAAAGGTAGCGCAGGACCTATAGCCCTGTTCTTCTGCCCTGCATAACAAATCCGGCCCAAAGTTTCAGGGTCGGGGGTGGGGTCTAACAAATCCTTTATGGGACAGAAAATTTTAACTATCCCTGGAAACTGGTCCGACCGGTGTGGCTCAGTCGACTGAGCGTTGTTCCACGAACTGAGAGATCCCAGTTCAATTCCTGATTGGGGCACATGCCCGGGTTTTGGGCTCAACCCCCAGTAGGGGGCATGCAGGAGGCGGCAGATTGATGTTTCCCTCTCTCCCTTCTTCTCTCTAAAAAATCAATAAAAACATTTAAAAAACTATTCCTAAAAATTGAAAAGCATGGAAAGTTTCTCAATCCATTTCTGAGACTAGAATAACCTTCACACAAAATAGACAAGACCTCAATCAAAGACAAAACTCCACAATACCTCAGTTTCAGTATATGTGCTGCCCAAATGAGCACTACAGTACCTCAGAATACAGACATAAAAATACCAAATAAAACATCGTAATTAAATCTGGTAACAGGTTGAAAACAATGTATCACACCCTGGCCAGGTGGTCAGTTTGCTGGAACGCCGTTCAGCACACTGAGGGGATGCAGGTCGATTCCTGGTGAGGGCACATACCCAGGGTGTGGGTTCCATCCTAAGTCAAGGCGAGTATGGGAAGCAACTGGTTGCAGTTTCTCTCTTACGTCAATGTTTCTTTCTCTCCCTCTTTCTAAAAATTAAAAAAAAGTAATATATCATAACCTAGTAGGGTTTAATCCCAGGAATGCAAGGATGTCTGAAAACTAGGAAACCTAATTTCTTAATTCTTTTGGAAATATCTAAAAGAAGAAAAAAATAAAATTCAATATCTACTCCTTTTTTTTTTTTTAACACAAAAATAACTTTAATAAACTGGGGGGGTGGGGACGACGACAAAACTTCTTTAACTTGCTAAAATATATCAACAGTCTGGAAGCAAGCATCAGACAATCCCAAATGTCCAAACTGCTTTGAAGCTGAAACAGGCCAGAGCTCAGTGCTGGAGGGAAGACAAAACTGTTACTACCTGTAGAAGACATCATGATCTCCTAGAAAATTCATAGCAATCGACTCAAAACTACTGGAGACTTAACCGAGTTTGGTGAGAGGGCTGGACAGTGACCCACTTTCCTACACATACCAGCAACAGCTGCGTAGGAAATTAACTCCGCCGTTTAAGATACCACTCGGAAGAGTCCCCCCAAAATGATCGAGTACCAAGGTATAAATTCCTTAAGAAATGCAGAAAGCACAAAACCACAACACAGGATACAAAAATCACCTTACAGAGAAATACACAGCATGTTCTTGGATGGGAAGTTTCAAATAGGTGCCAAGTCTGGTCACACTGTGTACACCTGCAGGTTTTAGGAAATACATTTTTCTTTTACAAGCAGCTAGCACACTACTGCAAGTGTAAAAAGTGAATTTAACAGAGGCGGGTGGGCAGGGTGCCACCTGGAAGCCCTGCTCCTGTCACCTAAGAGACTCTGGCTGACCCGTCGCCTGGCCCTTCAGGCCCCACCTCCACCAGGAGCCCTGTGTCTCTGTCATTCTCCATCCTCCTGTAAGCCATCTGCCCCCAAACGACTAGCTATGTTCAAGTCTGGATTCCCTTTTTAGCCAGTCAGGGACAGAGAGAGAACGGGCTCTGAAGGTCACACTCGTCTGTGCACCCCCTGGTTCTGAATGGCAGTGTTCAGTAAATTGTGAAGTGACAAGACTCAGCAGCCCCCGCCCCCCACCACACAAACACACACTCCTTGCACACACACCTGCTCATCAACGTAGGCGTCAATCCGCTTCTGGCACTCCAGCCACTCGGCGGCGACTCTGCGCAGCTCTTCCTCGGAGTGCTGGTACCGCTGCAGCAAGGTGCTGTAGGCGTCCTCGCTGCACGTGTCGTGCGTCGTGGTCCCCAGCCTGTGGAGAGAGGCCTTTCAACAGGAGACAAGGGTCCAAAGGGTCTGAGCCAGCAACCAGAGGACTGCTCCCATGGGCCCCGCCCCCAACATGATGAGGGGGACACCTCTCCATGCCACACCAGCTGCTGTGAGGCAGCACTAAGGCCTCGTGCAAGGCACCCAGAAGCCTGCATAAAGGAGAAGCGTGGAGAAGGGGCAGCTCCTCAAAGAAAATCAGTGGTGATATCACTGTTCTAAGACAACTGAGGCCTGCAATTCAGTTTACTAGATGTGGGGCTGTAAACAAAGCATTTGATGAGAAACACAGTTCTGGACCTGATTTCCAAATCGAGTAAACAAAAAAATCCAATTCAAGCAAAGAAATGTAATTATACTTTCATTCATTCAGTTTTTTATCTTGTTAAGAAACATGGTAAGATGGCAAATGAGAAAATGAACAGGAAACAAAAGACACACACATGGGCAAACAATGAGAAAACACGTACATGTCTGAGAAAGAAGACACGCGCTGAGAAGTGGCCAGGGAGACCTGTCCGGTGGGATTGCGGCAAGGGGACCTATGGCTTCTCATTGTAAACCATTCATTTTCGTAATATCTAAATACACAACTTCTGAACAAAAACAACTATAATGAAGACCTCTTGACAAAAAAATTTGAAAATCAAAACCATTTATTTATAATTGCCCAAGAGCACAGATGATGCCGTGTACACGACACACTGGAAACTGCCCAACGGAGACCAATAGTACAGTGACGGCACCTCCAGACCAGGGGTTCCAGGTAACGAGGTACTCACTGCAGACTGCATTACATCCAGTCATCCACATACACGTACACATACACACATTTGTTTTGACATGGAAATACACCTATGTTAAGATGTGACTATGGCATCATTTAAAAGTGTGCATGGGGGGTGAACATGGGAAAAAAAAATTCTAGAAGCACTCATGTGTGCAATACCTACCTTCCTCCTGATTTTCTATTATTTTCAGAATTTTATTGCAATAACAACTTAATAACTTTATAATAAAAGTAAAGAGTAAAGTGACTTTAAATCAGAGCCATGTTAAGTGGGTGCTTTTCCTTATTCATGAGGAATTTGTAGTGTTAAATTTAGTAGCATTAGCCCTGCCAGTTTTGCTCAGTGGTTAGAGCATTGGCCCTCAGACCGAAGGGTCATGGGTTTGATTCCAGTCAAGGGCACATACCTGGGTTGCAGGTTCGATCCCCAGCCTTAGTCGGGGTTGTACAGGAGGCAACCAATCGATGTGTTTCTCTCACATCGATGTTTCTCTCTCTCCCTCCCACTCTAAAAAAAAAAAAGGAAAAATGTCCTTGGGTGAGGATGAACAAAATAAACGAATAAATAAATAAATAAATTTTAATAGCAACAACATTGGTTTTGTCTGTGACTCTAAAGCTTAATCAATTACGTTTTGGGTTTTCAGCGATCTGCCTAAACTGTATTTTCCCCAGAGCCCTGTGATTTTTTCCAGCAAGAACATCCACACCGCACGGCAGGTAGAAGGACCACGCTGTCACACCATGGGAACATATGCAGATTAAGACTAAACACCTGCGCCCAGCCAGTGTGGCTCAGTGGACTGAGCGTCGTCTAATGGACAGAGAGGTCCCGGTTCGATTCCTGGTCAGGGCATATGCCTGCATTTTGGGCTCAATCCCCAGTGGGGGGGCGTGCAGGAGGCAGCCGATCAATGGTTCTCACATCAGTGTTTTTCTCTCTCTCCCTCCTTCTCTCTCTAAAAATATTAATAAAAAACACATTAAAAAAAAAAAAAGACCAAATACCTGATTTGTGACACCAGTGCTGGTAAGTTGCTCTGGAGAAGAGGCTCCGAAAAAACCAGATTTTCAAACAGGTGCTTATTATGCAGTTCCCATGTCACCTGGAACTTTTTCAAGTGCTCGTTTTCCTAATTAAAAAAAAAAAAATAGAAGTACTGAGTGAGTGGATGAAGACAAAAAGTTCCCAGAAGCTTACAGTCTACACAGGCCGGTCCTCCTGCTTACGAGGAGCTGCTGAAAGGGTGGCGAGAGCCACAGGTGAGGAAGGGAGAGAAAGAAGAGAAATGACTGCACTTGCTTGATGGTCATTCCTTATAATTACGATTCCAAAATGTATCGAAAACCCTTCTCTTACACAACTTAAATGCATACATATCCTTCGATGGCCAACAGCAGTCATTTTCTTGCCTATCTCGAGATGTCTCCCTTCTGATAGAGGCAAACTGCTCCATGAGTGATGCGTGCAGAAGGTCAGGTCTTCTGCTTCTCTAATAAACCGTAGGCAAACTCACCACTCAGTTCAACCACAACTTCTAAACTTCCGGGTCATGCAGCCCACCAGAGTGACATCCACACAACTAACCAGCAGGTGGCGCCATGACCTTCCCTAAACCCAGCCTTCACTTTTGACAGGTCTTGCTATAGCCACGTGGGTGCGAATCCACGCTCCCATCTGTAAGCACCCCCCCCCCCCACACACACACACAGCTTCTGCTCGAATCACCAATGGCCCTGGGTGAGGGCTCCTCACCTAACAGCTGCCTGCCCGGGAAACTGCCTAGCATTCTACACATCCCTGTGACCCCTCAGAAGCAGGTTCCTGATGACAACATGCACTAGTCTGTGCTCATTTACAATTTAGCCAGAGTTGAGAAGGTCACACCTGGAAATGTCAGCAAACAATCTACGCATGCAGAGTCCATGTTTGTCCCCGATGCTGCTGGCACAGGGCTCAGAGGACGTGAGCCCTGTGGACAACGCACATCAGCTCTGCGCCCAGAGTGGAGACTCAGAGGGGCGGTAACACTTGCAGAGTGCCCTTCTCCTCGGTGCTGCCACGCCCAACCGCAGCGCTGCCCACACCTGCTCACGGCCTTCCCTCCAGCGTCCCCCCAGCATCGCTCAGAGCCAGTACGCAACACAGGCAAGTGGTAAAGAACGCAGCCCCTGGGATGAGAGACTGTTACCCATGTGCTTGTAATGGCAACATGGCCACAGACAACAGTGTGGAAAGGACACATGTCACAGACTTCAGCAGAGACTACTGAGTGCAGGTGCTGTGCCAGGTGCAGGGACACACGGCTAATGCAGTAGGTCCTGCCTTCCAGCAGTGCCCAGGGCACAGAGGAGCAAGCAGTGACCCAATTACAACTCATCTCCACAACAAAGAACACATAGGAGCTAAGGCAGCTGCAGACCAGGCCCTAGGCCAGCTGAGAGGTGCAAGGCGAGTCCTAGGAGTTGGGATCTTGCCTGCCCTGCCCCCATAAATCAGTGGGCCTTGCCTGCCAGCCTGTGAGCACCCGGCACTAAGTTACAACCCTGGGACCACAGCTGTGGCTTTTGGGCTGACATTAACTAAAGGTAATTGAGCAGATTCATTTCTGAAGATGTTTAGTCTTTTTTATGAAATCTGCGATTATACTTCCAGATGAGACCTGTGAGAGAATCAGACCCCAAGCTCACTCTCCCACCTGAAACCAGCAGGGAGGACCACACGTGCTGACGGCCTGCTTCCTGCGGCCAGCACTGCTCACGCACCAGCAACAACCCAGAACTTGGGCCAGAAACAGCCACAGGCTGAAGCTACCTGCCCTGGGCATGTGGGGCCCGGCTCTGAAGGCCATGCGCTGTGTTAAGATGGCAGAACCATGGCCAGAGGTGGAAAGAAAAAGCCCTGTGGATCTTAGGGTTTCCATCCTCATCAGTCTTACTTCCCACGTTCAAATGGCAAAGGTTTGCGAGTCTTGAAGAGAAAGGTGTTTAAGGTCAAGTCCTACAGCAGACCTTGAGGAACAGCAGGATATTCAGAATCTGTGTCCTTGTGAATGGAAATTCAGATGTCATGATCATTACAGCCTAATAAGGCAATTTCTTAGACCACCGGAGGCAAAACTTAAGTCTAGTTGCAATTTTATTTTAATGCTTAATAAGTAGAAAAAATGTGACCCATTATCCGGTTTGGTCCCTGGGGCAGTGTGCAATGAGCCCCAGAAAGTCATGCTTGTAGAAATACCTCCATGTAAATGCACTGCATGGGTTCTGCAGACTCAGGACAACAGGGTGTTGTTCTGGAGAAGCTGAGGGAACGCAGAGAATGAGCCACTGGGTCCACACAGCAAGGGAACTTGCTGCTTCAAGGAAAACAACTGCCCCGATGTGTGGCCAGTCACCAAATCTGAGCTCTCAAGAAAACACCAGACCACAGGAAGATCTGCATCTGCATTGTGGCCACGAACCTCCCCACAGCTGAAGACCTCTGTGATGGGAACCGGCCGTTTCCACACTGAGAACCATGATGTTGCGGGCAACGCTCAGGGAACCAGTGTCTCCAAAGGACCCATGTGCTGCTAGGAAGCCCGTCGAGGGGCAGGCCCATGCCAAGGGCAAGTCACGCCAGTGGGTTCCACTGTCAGTACGGTCAGCTCCATGACCTGGTTTCGGAGTGTTGAGAAGTGCTCGGCTCTAGTGTGCTTTCAAAGAGCAGCGGCCACATCTGAAAGGCTGTCGGCACGTCCCCCTCCACCCACACATCTGTGAGGCCTTCAGGAGCTCTAGCCAAGACGACCTAGGACAGCAAGCTACACGCAGAGGAGCTAGAACCCAGGGGTCCTGCATGAGGCCAGACATTAGAGATTTGCAAAAATTTTAAACAATACCCCTCTTCTAAATAAGTATGTTTTGCCCTGGACTGGTGTGGTTCCGTAGTTGAGCGTCATCTCATGCACTAAGAGGTCACCGGTTCGAGTCCCAGTCGGGGCACATGCCAGGTTTCAGGCTTGATCCCTGGCTGGAGGTGTATAGGAGGCAGCCAATCGATGGCTCTGTCTCACTGTGTTTCTCTCTCTCTCTCCCCCTTCCCTTCCTCTCTCTAAAATGAATAAAAAATATATTTAAAAAATATTGTTTTAAAAAGTTATTTTTCATTTAAAAATATGACATTTGTGCTATGTAATGGGCTTATTTTAAAAATAATTTAATAAATAAATATTTTTAGCCCAGCCAGTGCGGCTCAGTGGTTGAGTGTGGGCCCATGCACCAAGAGGTTGCTGGTTCAATTCCCAGTCAGGGCACATGCCCAGGTTGTGGGCCAGATCCCCAGTGGGGGGCATGCAGGAGGTGGCCAATCGATGTTCTCTCTCATCGATGTTTCTATCTCTCTCCCCCTCTTCCTTCCTCTCTAAAATAAATTAAAAAATAATTTTTTGTTTAATCTTCACTTGAGGACATTTTTGCATTTATCTTCAGATAGAGCGAGAGGAAGAGAGGGAGGAAGAGAGAGAGAGAAACACCGATGTGAGAGAGACACATAAACTGGTTGCCACCCACACAACCCCAACAGGGCCAGGGACAAACTTCAACCGAGGTACATGCCCTTAGTGGGAACCAAACCCGGGTTTCTCTAATCCACAGGCCAACGCCTAACCGCTGAGCCAAACTGGCCAGGGCAAGAAAAAAAACTTTTAATTTCAATACAGTAAATATTGATTTAAAAACCCACATAAACAAAGGCTCTTGAGGGGGTCCTCTGTTTTAAAGCTTAAAAGATCTCAAGTCCAGACTGGGAAACTGCCCTGAGACCCTGACTCAGTTTCTCTTTTTTTTTTTTTGTTCAGGTAGAGTGGGAGGGAGAGAGAGGAACAGAGAGAGAGAGAGAGAAACATCGATGTGAAAGGAACACATCGAGTGGCTGCCACCCGCACAACCGACCAGGGCCGGGGACAAACTGCAACCGAGGTACATGCCCTTAGCGGCAACCGAACCCGGGTCTCTCAGGACCGCAGGCCGACGCTCTAACTGCTGAGCCAAACCGGCCAGGGCTCAGTTTCTCTTAACCAAGCTCTGCAGACTCTTTTGACCATGGAGATCACAGGGTGGGCCAGGAAGGATGCTGTGATCAGTTTGTGAACCTTCTTAGATCCTCATCTGAACACCCCAACCATAAAGAGATTTTTGAGCTAACTGGGAAATTTTTATATGAACTGGGTGTTAGTAATAAAAAGAAACCACTGCTGGATTTGGGGTGTGACAATGGTCTGTGGAGCCCTCTGAGTAACCCGTTGCTGCTTGACTTGACTAGCAACCTGGAATCACAGCAGTCGCCCTAGACTCAAGACTCCACACGACACCAACAGCATCTGCTTAGACCATGTCTCTGTGCAGCAACTTACTGACGAACTCTCTGAGAGCTGAAGCTGTACCCCCAGCCACGCAGGTCATACTGCGTGAGCGTCCCTGCGGTCCCTCCAGTGCAGGGGTCTCTGCTTCACCCCCACCCTGAGGGTGTGATCATTCGCGGTCCCAGCACAGCATGCAGACCCCACCCTGCAATGACTTGGGTGGCAGCCATCTCCCAGGACTAGAAGAAATCCTTGGGATATGCTGGTTTTGAGCACATGAATCTCTCAGCCCTGAGGCTCTCATGTTTCATGCCAACTTGCATGCACTTTAACAGGTTCATCTTCTTTTAGTTTGCTATTCGGCAGTTCAGTGGTCTCCCTTGGAGGACAGCAGTGTTCAGGGTACCTTGTCTGCTGTCCACTGAAAACCAAAGTGGACAGCTCTATGTATGAATAAGGTGAAATGAATCACTGACCAAACAGCTGAATTTTGCATGAATTTTCAAACCACAACAAAGTATCTCTGTGTAAACTGCTTGGAATTTGCTCCAATAAATGTGGCTCAAACCAAGTTTGTCAGCTTCACACAACAGCACTCTCCTCAGACTAGCTGGAGGCCTGCACAAGGCAGCACGGCAGGCACAGCAGAGGTGCAGGCAGGAGATGCTCCGAGCCATGGCTCACATCCTCGGAGACTTCTGAGGGTCCCAGGGTGCTGTCCAGAGGAGGTGGCCAGGATCTGGACTTCTGAACAGCAGGAGATGCTCAGGGGCAGAAATGGGAGAGGGACTGTTGCAGGCACAAGAGGCAGGGGTCAGACTCCTGAGGCCAGTCCAGCCTGCTCATAACTGGCACTCCGTTTCTCAGAGGCCGACCCTGATGCAGGGGTAACTGCCCCGCACCCCTCACCAGCTCCTCTTCTCAAAACCAGCGCTTTCCTGGAGGTTTTAGGGAGTCATTGAAGGAATAGCAATGTCTATTACAGCAATGCTTGAGAAAGTCCCTGAACTCCTGAGACTACTTGCAAAATTGTGTGTATGTGAACTTTTCTGGTGAGAAGGCCTATCAACTTTAGAATCACATAAAGACCATTAAGCTTAAAATCTTAGGAACCTCTTACTCTGTGTTTCAAAGTGTAGTTTTACTACTAAGAAAGCACTCAATACCAGCCCAGTGAAGTACCACTTAATAAAATTTAAGTGATAGATTGGTGTTAGTAAATAGGTGCTTCTGGGACAGTCAAGAGACGAGGGGCTGTCTCTCTGGGGAGCGCAGCCAGCTCCCCACCAGCAGGGCGCTGAGGCCGTGCCCAAGTGCCCCAGTGCACTGTTTCCAGAGACGGCGTTTCCACAGCATCCCACCCATTTCACTCCTGGAGGTGGGCGGTACAAGACCCAGGGAGAACTCTCTGTCTCCTTCACTAGGACCGGACAGTGCCCACAGGGCTGGGGATGGCACCTGACTGGACGGCACCCATCCTTCCTCCGTACTGGACTGGCCAGTGGATGGAAGACTGAAAGCCCAGGGCCGTGAGCAGGCGCCCTCTGCATCGATCTCATCACAGGTCTCTGTGCACAGGGATGACAGTACCAGCTGACAGTGCAGCCACTTCTTTCTGGTCCCTGTTGACCACACACTGGTCCTCACCGCATCCTGTCCCCTGCCTCCCTCCTTAGGCCTCACGCTCCCCCATGTTTCAGGACATGTCACCGCTTGTCCATCCACTCAAGACCTTGTCCAGCATCAGACAGGGAAGACAGAGACTGAGGAGAGCAGTCAGGCTTCCTCCTGCTGCCTGAGCATCACAGGGAGGGTCTGGGCCGCATACAACACCAGCACCAGGCCTCAGCTCTACCCACCACACAGCCCACAGTACCCAACACCACCAGGGAAAGGCGCGCTCTCACCAGAGTGCCGAGGAAGGTGCTGATGGTGCGCGCTGCCTGGCAGAGGGCGCCGTACTCCTCCAGCAGCAGGGAGATGAACTGGTAGGCCTGTGGGGGGCCCTGCAGGCCAGAGGGCGCCCTCACTCGGGCCGCGGCTGACAGCTGCCGCAGGAGGCGGACCTTCATCTCCAGCACATACTCGCGGGCTTGCTGCTCCAGCCGCTGGTACAGCTGGTAGGGGTCCCTCTCGCAAAGCCTGCACAGAGAAGGAGAGTCACCACTCACTCAGACCCCGCTGCTTCCCATGAGGGATGGTCTATATTCACAAGCATCTTTCCTGAAGCCTTTTCCCAGGAGCCCACCTGAAATGACACCATCTTTTCACGACCTGGAGGTACATTTGCCCAACTCAACACAGGGAGGCAGAGTGTCAGGAACTTCCCCATGACACCCCAGAATGGCCAGAAAACCTACGTTTACTGAGACCTTACTCTGTGCCAGCACTCATTTACCCCCCGGGGGGCTGTCTCTCACATGTACTAACCCAGGTATTCACCTGGGCGGCTGTCTCTCACATTACTGAACACTGAGCCCACACAGCCTGGGGAAGGTGCTGGAACCCACAGAGCCAGCAGGTGGCAGAGCGGACACACCACTGCCCCAGTGGTTGGCTGGAGATGCACCTCTCAGCCCTTGGACCACTGAACTGAAAACAGGCAACTGGAGACAAATAGGTTTGGCTGCTGATACGTGACCAGGTGAAAAAAGGACCCACTGAGGTGTCTCAGGGCGGGGGGACTGCCACAGACGGCCCCTTCCTTCTTTCTAGGAATGCAATCTACAGGCCAAGTGGGCTCATGTTACTTTTATAATCGGGAGAAACTTCAAGATACCATATCTTTTTTTCAATTATCCCCCCCCCCACACACAAAAACAATAAAACTGTATAAAATAAAATTTATAAGCTGAAGAGCAAGAAAAAAATTAATGCATGCCCCACCCCCACCAGGCCACAGTAACAGTTATCATTTCCATGAACTTTTTCCTAACTTGTTCTACAGTATTTGGCATCCCTTTCATTGTAAGCCTCTGAGGACCCTCTAGATGGAAACCCAGGACCACCAGAGCCGCTGTGTTCGACACGAGCTGTAACACACAATGAACTACAGCTACTGGATTTCATATAATGAATCTTTTCACCTACCGGGCACCAAATTTGATCAAAAGAGAAGGTGAGTTACTGCCTATTCCACTTTATTTTTTAAAATATGTATTAATTGATTTTTTAGAGAGAAACGGAGAGGGGGAGACAGGGAGGGAGGAAGAGAGAGAGAAAGATCGATATGGGAGAGAAACATCAATCGGATGCCTCCCATATGCACCCCGACTGGGAATTAAACCCGCAACCCAGGCCTGTGTCCTAACCGGGAATCAAACCAGTGAACTTTTGATGCACAGGACGACGCTCAATCTACTGAGCCACCAGGCCAAGGGGCCCATCACACTTTATTCCACTTTAAAATTCCCATACCACCTGGGCTGTAAGACAAGAGCCAAGCAGAATTCCCCAAAAGACTGATAATGTGACACCTTTTAGAAAATGTGGCTAGAGACACAGTAAGAACTGATGGGATTCCAACTATGGTTAGTACACTTCAGAGAGAAATTAATTTTTTAGCATAACAATCCAGCATTGCTATTCTCTGAAACAGAATGTATTTCATCTGTTAAAAGCCACACAAAACTCAAATGACACAGGAACAATCAAACTTATAAGCAGACTGGACACCTCCTTCTTAGTTCCTCAGCATGGTGAAATTAGTCATACAATTAATCTTATTTTCTTGTCTACTGCTGTATCTTATATATTTAATGAAATGCCCGTGTGGTACTTTTGCAAATAGATATTAAAGCTGTACGACCACGAGGCAGGACTGTGCTGAAGGTGCTGTCATCCACATGTACTTGCAACACAGGCTGCGCTGTGTGCTGGAGGCGGTGCTGCCGCTCCATGCCAGGGGTGCAGGAGCCAGGTGAGCCAGGTAAGCCAGGTTCAGCCGGCCTAGCACCTGCACCCGCATACACGCTAACAGTGGTCTCGGTGGGCAGCAATGTAATGAAATGAAGTCAGGGGTAGCAGGTAATGTGAGGAGGTCCTCAGATTTTAGGTAGGGCGGCCTCTTTGAGAAGATGTCTCGAGACTAATGTGAACGATGAAAGGGAGAAAAAAAAGAGAGAAACCCTGAAAAAGAAGAACATTCCAGACAGAGAGGAGGAAATGCCAAGGTCTCAGGGCAGAAATGGAAGGGATGAGAACAGGAAGAGGTGGCACAGAGGCAGATCACCCTGTGTTACCTCCACCAGCTGGACGGACTCCTGGACATGGGTTTCACAGACACCCCTTTCCTGACTGTGTTGGCATTTAAACAAAAAGTGTTCTCTGACACAAAGACCAGGAATAACATAGTATATACGATACACACACCTCCATGGGGTGGAGTTTTTACATTCTTAAAACTCTAGAGTAACGCTGCGTCCGAAACCTCGCCATTCACAGATCACTGTTGCCATCTCGGCCACATAGCCCTCCTCCACACTATTATTTGCTGACTATTTTCTTTCAATTGTCTTCTACTTCCTTTAGCCTCTTCCTAAATAAGCATTCATAAGCTGTGAAGTCATGGGTTTCATGGGCAGGTTATATATTTTTTCCCTAATACTCACTAAGAAAACTAACTTCAAAAAAGGTAATATACCACCTGGAACCATCTCAGGGAACAGCAGAGGTTCGCAGGTCAAATCCTGAACACACTGGCCGAATCCATTAACACAGCCACAGCCAGTCACGCCTCCCGTGTCCACGACACACTATGGTACAGCAAACCAAAGTCTATAAAATCCCCAAAGGTGCTGTATTCAAAACATGAGAAAAATAAACCAGTATGAGAATCAACCCATAAAATATCTAGCTCAAATTTATCACTTTTATTTCAAACATTTAAAAAAAAAAAGATGCTAAAACTATAAAGAAAAAAAAAATCGCCCTGGCCGGTTTGGCTCAGTGGTTGGAGTGTCGGCCTGTGGACCAGAGAGACCCTGGTTCAGTTCCCGTTAAGGGCACGTACCTTGGTTGTAGTTTGGCACTGGCCCCGGTTGGGGTCGTGTGGGTGGCAATCACTCCATGTGTCTCTCTCACATAGATGTTTCTCTCTCTCTCTTCCTCCCTCGCTCCTTCCTGCTCTATCTGAAGATAAATGCAGAAATGTCCTTGGGTGAGGATAAGAAAAATCATGTCCACCTCAAGGTCTGCACTGCCACGAGTGCGAGGGTCTGCTGCCCAGGAAACACCTACAGGCAGGCCTGGCCACAGCTGGCTGTCCACAAATGTCTGTGCACATTCTCTGGCCGCCTGGTAGCACGGAGCCTCCGTGTCCTCACCTTGTGGATGGGACAGCTGCCGAAATTTCCTCCTTGAACTGAGCAAGTACTCAGCATCATCCCAGCACAGTGAGTGCTTAGTGACAGTCTCAACACTAAGAGATGACAGAAGTGTGTCACTTCACTTATACACAGGCAGTAAGTGTTTCGGCAAACTAGAATCTGAAACTTGACACAGAGGGATCACTCTTGCCCCGTCCACTGAGCACCCGCAGTACACCTAGACCCTGAGAGCAGAGCCCACCAGGGCAGAGGCCAGGCTCCCAGGGCACAGGTGAGGGAGGGACAGGACACAGGGGACACATGTACCTATCCACGAGCTCCTTCACCCCCTCCTTGTCGGGCACCAGGGACTGGTCTTGGTCATCTGCCAGTGGGGTCCCCGCCTGGCGGTAAATGCAGCGGACCATGTAGCGCACTTCAGACCAGTAGTTCTGCAGCTGCTGCGGCTCCCGGTCTGTCTCTGCTGAGATCTCTCTGTGAAGCGGCACAAAGGCAGGGGTCAGGGTCGTCAGCACAGTCCTTGCCATCCCCACTCCAACACAGTCCCTCCTGTCCACACCCGTTCCTTCCCCATTCCATCCAGCTCTGCTGTCGCTGCAGCTGACCGGCACACCCCACAACGGTGCCCTCGGCTATCCACTCCCTGAGACCTCATCTCCTGGAGATGTCAGTCCCCTTCCCGCGACAGGGATCAGGAATGCCAACCAGCCCAGCTCCCCAACCTCTGCCAATCAGGGCCAATTATGCAGCTCTCATCCCCACCCGCCCCGGTTCACTCCACCGACCTTGGATTCCGATGACTGAGCCCTGGGGCTCCTGTCCCTCCCAAAGACTAGCTTCCTCTGATAAGTCCTCAGGGCAGGAAGGAGGGAGCAGCCTCACTCACCCGGTCTCCCTCACAATTGCCTAGCCACTGGTTCCCTCTCAGGAGCATGAGGCCTTTATGAAGAAGGTGGTCCTGTCCCAGCCCCAGTACCATTCAGTGGCCCCACCCACTCTCCTGCACACCAAGGTACCTGCGCTCGCTGCAGGCCTCACAAGCACACGACGAGTCCGAGGGCAGTGGCTGGGTGCCCAGAGCCAGCCTCCCGTTGCCTGCCTCTGCTGGGGGCCCGCCCAGAGGGGCGTGGAGAAGAAAGTCCTGGCCCTGCTTGAAAGAGAATAGCATAGACTCATGTTCAAATGTTCACAGACAACTTTCAGAAAAATGCCTTTTAAAAAAAACACATAAAACCAAGACACTGAAAATTTCTGAACTAACATTACATAGGAAACTCTCTCTGACACTCAAGAATTTTGCTTGGGACCCATTACTTGTTTACCTTTGACAGTTATATCACAATCCCATGAAGATACTGAATGAATGGCTTCCTTCTGTCTTTAAAAAGGAGCAATTTTACTACTAGTGTCCTAAGCAGCACACGGTGACCACCCCTGTAGGCACCTCGAGGAAGTGATATGGCCAGTCATCGAGAAGGCGCTGAGTGGAAACCTAGTGTCCACTCCAGCCCAGCATCCAGAGGCCTCTGGCCCAGATTCCCATAAGCTGTGCCACCTGCTGAGCAAAGAGAACGCTCTAGGAAGGATTGATGGAACAAGTTCGACTTTTGCGCCTCGCTATCCAATAGCACCTAAAAGATGTCACCAATAGCCGCTACAGAGAACACAAAGACAACCTTAGGCTCCAGCCCACAAACCTCTTCCCTCCCTCCGCTTCTCCTGTCTCAGAACATAATAGCACAGCACACTACCCACCCACCCAGCACCTTGTCCCTCAGTGACAGGACCAGAGAGAAACTGTTACCAGTCTTACAGCTGGAGGCCCCCACATGGTGAAGAAAAGTATGAGCCGCCACCCCCATCCTCACCCTGGGCTCACTGACAGGGCAGCCAGCGCCACAACCATAACCGCGACAGCCTAGGAGGACAGAGTCACGGGAGAGACTCCTAAGGTGAACTGTCACATGAAGAGAAACACATGGTTCGGTTCCTCCTCTTGCATCCCTCATGTCCGCCTGTCCCAGAGGGGCCTGGGCTGGATGTTCAGGTCACCTCAGGGGAGGTGCGTTCTCCTGTCCCATCCTGCCTCCAGCACAAGGCAGAACCACATCCCACTGCCTCTCTCCCCTGCTTCCAGCCCAGTCTAACCATGGCCACCTCTTGCCTGGGCTCCGGCGGTCATGGCTCTGCTGGCTCTTCCACGCTGACCCACTGTAATCCCTTCTCCAAGCAGCAGCAGAGTGACCCCAAATGTGAGACAGCTGGAGCTCCCTGTATGGAACCTCCCACGCTGGGAAACAAACTAACTTCCTGACCAGTCTTCAAGGTTCCCAGCACAGACTCTGCTCTAACCTCACTGCACCCACAGCCTCTGCCTGGAGCGCTCGTCCTCTCCACCTCTGATGACAGGATCCTCTCTACCTGTCATGCCGCAGTGAGAAGATCAACTCCCACTCGGGGAGCCAGCCATCAACTTCTGCCTCTCCAAACCCACCCTGCCTGCCCTGCTCTGGGACAGAGGGCAGCCCTGCAAACTGCTCCTTGGCCGAGGCACCACGTCCAGCCTTGTCAGCAGAGGGTGCTGGAGAATGGCAGCGGGGGCAGGGTCTCCCTCCTGGTCCCGGCTTTTCCCAGCTCGCTCCTGTCACCAGGCATGTGAGGGGTACTCCAGCGAGCCCACCAGCCGGGGCCTGCAGCTCCTCCGCAGCATTTCTGCTGCCCAGGGTGTAACTGCACCCTCTCCAAGGAGGGCATCTTCACAGTGTGAACTCCTGCAGTCCCCTCCCATGCTCTCGAGTGGCTGTTCCCTGGATCCACCCCAACTGTTCTCTCTGGGTAGCTGACCTCTTGTTGCTAGATACTTTTTTATGTCCAAGTATCGCTGTTCAAATGAGGGTGTGGTGGCCATCTCCTGACCTTAATCACTCCAGGTAATCTCCTATTATCACTCATGGCCTACTGAAATCCTGGTGTTTTCCCGTTTCCCTGCCTTCATCCCCAGACAATCAGGTCCACGCACAGGACCCTTTCTGACCTGCTCCCTGCTGCGCACCAGCACGGCAATGCTGCAGGACACACAGGAAAGACTCAGAACAGCAACCAAGAGCCTGGGGAGTGACGTTTCCTCCTGACAAGGGAGGAGGTGGGGCCTTTTAAAAAAGGGCACAGGCCTGGCTACTGTGGCTCAGTGAGTGGAGCATCGTCCCATGGACTGAGAGGTCCCAGTTCGATTCCCGGTCAGGGCACATGTCTGGGTTGTGGGCTCAGTCCCCAGTAGAGGCCGTGCAGGAGGCAGCCAATTTTTTTTCTCTCTCTCTCTCTAAAAAAAATCGATATAAACATATTTTTTAAAAAAAGATAAACCTCTAGCCACTCTATCAGGAAAAATAAAGTGAAAAAACTCAACCAAAATACCAGAAATGAAAGGGGCAGGAGTAGTATGCAATCATGACAGACCCCAGAAATTAAAAGATACAGGAATATTTCGAACAATTTCATTCAAAGACACCTTTTCATTTTTGGTTCCGATAGAGGGGGTGGGAGAGAGAGGAAGAGAGAGAGAGAGAGAAACATCGACGTGAAAAGGAAACATCAACGTGAAAAGGACACATCGAGTGGCCGCCTCCCACACGACCCAACCAGGGCCAGGGACAAACTGCAACCGAGGTACGTGCCCCTAGCGGGCACCGAACCTGGGTCTCTCTGGACTGCAGGCCGATGCTCTAACCGCTCAGCCAAACCGGCCAGGGCCAGCTGCATTTCTATTTACTAGCAATAAATAAAAAAATTTAGAAGCACCATTTAAAATAGCAAGAAAAATATGAAATACTTTGGAAATATTTCAATACACTGTGCAAAACTTGCAGTTTGAAGACTACAAAAATATTCTAAGAATCAATTTGAAAGACCTAAATTAATGAAGATTCATAACACATTCAGTGATTGGAAGACTCAATATTAAGATGTCAATTCCCCCCAAACTGGTCCATAACTCTACACAGTGCCAGTTAAAATCTTAGCAGGTCTTTCTGTAGAAATTAGCAAGATGATTCTAAACTTTTTATAGAAACACAAAGGACCAAGAACAGCCAAATAACAAAGCTGGAAGACCTCTACTACCTAATTTCATGACTTATATAAAAAGCTTTTTTTATTTTTAATCCTCACCCGAGGACATTTTTCCATTTTTTGTTCAGAGAGAGTGGGAGGGAGAGAGAGGAAGAAAGAGAGAAAGAGAGAGAAACATCGACGTGAAAGGGACACATCGAGTGGCTGCCACTGGCACAACCCAACCAAGGCCGGGGACAAACTGCAACCGAGGTACGTGCCCTTAGCAGGAACCAAACCTGGGTCTCTCTGTACCGCAGGCCGACATTATAACCTCTGAGCAAAACTGGCCAGGGCAACTTATATAAAAACCTTCTTGAGTCAATACAGCATGGTACTGGCAAAAGGATAGACATACATGCAAAGTGGAACACAGGGTCCAGAGGCAGACCCACACATATGGCAACAACTGATTTTCGATTAAGATGCCAAGGTAACTCAACGAGGAAAAACAGTATTTTTAACAAACGGTCTGGAACAATTGAGCATCCACATACAAAAAGGATGAACTAAAACTCTTATATTACAGAAGACACAAAAGATCACTCCAAATGGGTCACAGGTCAAATATAAGTTCAGCCCTGGCCAGTTTGGCTCAGCGGTTAAAATGTTGGCCCGCAAACGAGAGTCTTGGGATTGATTCTGGTCAAAGGCATGTACCACCTAGGTTGCGCTTTGGTCCCAGACTCTGGTCGGGGTCGTGGAGGAGGCAACCAGTCAATGTGTCTCTCACATCTATGTTTCTCTCTCTCTCCCTTCCACTCTATCTGAAGATAAATGAGAAAATGTCGTTGGGTAAGGATTAAAAATAAAAAGTAGCCCTGGCCGGTTTGGCTCAGCAGTTCGAGCATCGGCCTGCGGTCCAGAGAGACCCAGGTTTGGTTCCCGCTAAGGGCATGTACCTCGGTTGCAGTTTGTCCCCGGCCCTGGTTGGTCGTGTGGGTGGCAGCCACTCAATATGTCCCTTTCACGTCGATGTTTCTCTCTCTCTCTTCCTCTCTCTCCCTCCCACTCTATCTGAACAAAAATAGAAAAATGTCCTCGAGTGAGGATAAAAAAGAAAAAGAAAGAAAAAGTATAAGCTCAAACCATATAAAGTCTAGTAAAAAACACAGGGCAAACTGTCTTTATAACCTTGGGTAGCAAAGATTTCTTCCATAGAACACAAAAGCCCAAATCATTTAAAAGTTGATAAATTGAACTTTAATCAAATGTAAAACTTCTGCTCTTCAAAAAGCAGTTAAAAAAAAATAAAAATAAAAAAAGGCTAGCCACACACTGGGAAAAAATAATTTGAGAAACATATCTGATATAAGGCTTATATTCAGAATATATGAAGATATCTCACAACTCAGTAAGACAAAAAACTCAATTAAGAACAGGTAAAAGCCCTGGCCGGTTTGGCTCAGCGGTTAGAGCGTCAGCCTGCGGTCCACAGAGACCCGGGTTCGATTCCCGCTCAGGGCATGTACCTTGGCTGCAGTTTGTCCCCGGCCCTGGTTGGGTCGTGTGGGTGGCGGCCACTCGATGTGTCCCTTTCACATCGATGTTTCTCTCTCTTCCTCTCTCTCCTTCCCGCTCTGAGTGAAAAATGGAAAAATGTCCTTGGGTGAGGATTGAAAAAAAAAGAATAGGTAAAAGATGTGAACAGCCACTTCAAAGGGATACAGGTGGAAAATAAGCACATAAAAAGATGCTCAACAAGCCATTAAAATTATGCGATAACACTAGGAGCCTCTAGAATGGCAAGACTTACGGACTGTCAGCATCCAGCCTTGGCGATGCCAACAGGATCTCGCACATGTGACTGGGAAACAGTACGAGCACTCTGACAACAGCTCCACAGTTCCTCATGACATTAGTCATAGGCTCAGTCTATGACCTTGACATCCACTCCGAGGTGTCCACATACAGACTTGCACAAATGTTACTAGGAGCTTTATTCATTGACAGGCAAAACCAGCAAGCACAGGTGTCTCTCTACTGCTGATGGAGAAACAGATGGTGAGCCAGCCATACAGTGGAGTACTATTCACAAAT